TCTGAGCGTATTAGAGGGTAGTGTCCAGAGCCTAGGCTCAACACACTCTACAGTGATCTCAGCCTTGGCCCAAATCACTGTAGAGTGAACTTTGAAGGGGTTTATTTGGGACTGCTACACCTGCCCACAATTGCTAGAAAATATACTCATGGCGTGTCTGATAAATACTGGCCAGTGAACGTCCAGATATTGTCGATGTATTTTGGGGAAATAGTTGTCTTTTCCTGATAAAGATATGCTTGTTTAAATAACTGCTGAAAATTTATTTTGGGGTAAACTTGAAGCTGAAACGATTGCCCCTGATTTGTCATACTATAAGACATCCTTGACTTTATTTGGACTAATTAAGGTATCATATGACAGTAAAAGATCCGATTTTAATGACATTGTGTCGGTACCATGGACATTTTTTCGGAACGAAACGTGAGCTAATACATGACTGCAATGTCCTAGATATCTCAACATCAGTTCACTTCAAATACAATACTAACAAGTCACACAAAGTCATAATGCTGCATGTGTATTGAGACATGTACGGAGCCCTTACCTTTCACCGTACCCCATGAACCTGTAACCTTCTCTAGTCATAATCTGGCTTCATGGCTATTTATGTCACAACGATCCTGTCAGGTGAATACATCAATTACTTATCAAGGCGTCGATGGTATTTCTATTGATCCCCTCCCGACACACACACCTGTTCCTTCTATCAGTGTGTAACAACTGTAAGCCTAAAGGCACATCTAAATTATCCCTTGTTCCTCGAGCTCGACACATATATGGTGTTTGGGCTGGAGATTTGAGTGGGTGAGTTGGGTTTGACTTTGAGCAGCCTTCCGTTATATCACAAAGTGCTAGCTAGGGGAAGAAGAGGCGCTGACCTTTAACGTGAACTTGTTGTTGACGTGGAGAATGCCACTAAGACAATTATGACGCTGACAAACCTAGGGTGATAATCGGAGCGAGTCTAGGATCAATCTCATTAAAATAAGATCTAAGTTCTCGCTGCTGCTAAACAAAGATCTGAGGACATCCCATTACGGGTCACGTCAGAACGACCTTTCGCGAACTTTGACCGATCACTAAAACGACTAACGAGATGTCGACATCAGCCAATTAGAAAGCAGCTTTCTCGAGATTGACGGCACTCGTTTCAACCTGGCGACTTCCATTTCAGACGACGCTTGAAAAATATGTTGACACAGTTCTCGAAAATTCTTTTGAAAACTGAACGAACGAACATTGTGGAATGTCTAATATATGGTGGCGTTTGTATGGCAGTCCTTCCCACGTACTGTGCAACGCCGCCTCCGTTCAAATGTTTATCGCACGGAAGCGAGAGAAAAAATAATTTTGACGGAATCAGTCGTACGGAGTCGTAACTGTCGTTCAGAATACCCCGTGTTAACGTTTTCGAGGCTGCATGATTAGAAAACACATTCCGACTGTCACTTTCATGATCTGGTAAGCGACGTTTTGATTGGTCGGATGAAAGGTTGGTCTGACGTGACCCGTATTGGGATATCAGATCTTTGTTTAGCCATAGCGAGAACTAAGATCTGATTTTATTGAGATTGGTCTAGGATCGAACTCATGTCCAAGGGACATTATTCTGCCTAGCAAACTAAGGCGCTTCAGGCGAAACGGCCAATCCTCAAAATACATATATATATCGAAAATTGGAAAGCGATTAATTTTATACACAGTTCACACAAAAATCCCTAAAAAAATACTATACTTAAAAATGCTGGATAGAAATATATTGTCCTTAGGTTTAACACAAACACCATATATCGTTGACTAGACAATGGTACTTGTTGTTACCCTGTCTAGCGCTCGGCATTGAGGGACTAAAACAAGGACTGGTCAGCTCAGTCAGTTTACTGCGTCTGAGTGGGGTATTCATGTTAAACTGCGGCATGGTATCTCAGTGAGCTAGCACTATAAATCGGCATCAGTCCGGACAAGTGCAAGCATCCACACACAAACACGTACATGCACGTTGCTATGTAAGTGCAGTAATCTTGGACGCGACGTTAAACCCAATTTCACTTTACCTTTCCTGGACATGCTCTATCAGTCTCGTTCCTATTGTTAAAAGGTTAAAATGCATCAAAAAAAAGGAGAAAATTAAAACAAATTAAAAAACATGATAATTACAGCCGCGATAGCTTCAGTGATGTGATTGCATTGTACACAGATATGGTGACAGGAAGGGAATCGATAAAGAAAGGACATTTCCCATTTATCATCGTGACTGTTTCAAAGCTGTCATTGTTATTGAATTATTCTCCACAGAGAGAACACACATCATGAAAAACTTCACAAGGTGATTCAGGGTGATATTTTTTCCGATTACGACACACATGAGTTCATGGTCAGATTTAGCTTTATGAACCAAATAGATGTTTTTGGACACGTGACAAAGAAAGGTCAGGTTCGATCACCTTAAAAAGGTACCCGTAACACAAGTAGAGAGTGCGGGGTTTTCGGTTGACAGGCAAATCGACACCACTCCCTGTTCCCACGCTGTGACGAGCCTATTCGGTCTTGTTTAGAAGTTATATTTTGAGCGTTTGTAAAGGATGCGAGCATAAACCTTGGGTTGCGTTTATCATTGTGAGTGAGGGCCGGCACATGATTGCTGATAGAAACGGTTAGGAGTCAGTTCCGATTGACCAATAACTCCGCAACTTAAAGGACCCTTGGCTGACCAGGCGAGTTGTAGAATCATGGCTGACAATGGCCATGACGGCGCGGAACGACAATACGTTTAGGTAAATGCAGGTAGGAACCCTTGACGCCCTAACGCAGTAACGACACTATCTCCATCACTGGAGAACACTTCAATATATACTGAAAATACACCGTATGTGTTGCGCCATAACAGGGAACTATTTTTATTTATATCTAATAGGTAAAAACATATCGATACCAGTAACATGAGTACTGTTCTTGTAATAACCTCGTAGAAAAATGATATTAATGTAGTTGCTCTATAACAGGGAACGTTTTTCATTCATGCCCTAAAAGGTACAAATCGATATCAATAACAAGAGTAGTCTTTTTGTAAAGACCTTATTGGAAAAATGATGATTAAATGTTTCGCCAATATATGGCTGTCTACTACACTGCAGCAAACGCCGTTGGCGATGATGATGGCACACTCCCTGCTGTTATCTGTAGTCCATTGTCCCCTTTTCCACAACATCCAATTAAGTAGAACGGCACATTGCCGCTATTCATTGTATTACAATCCACACATTGATGGAGGTAATTAAAACTGGGACACTCTATGTACTCGTGATAGAATGGAATACTTAAATTAACGAACATATAGTCTATGAAATATTTTATTACACAATTATATTCATTGTATATTTCTCTCTTTAATTTTATCTAATGCTGATCGCGAACGCCACGTGTCATCAATGGTTTTCACAGACACCCGCGCCTACTTCGTTCAGCGATGTTTTTCGTCAGATATCAGGTATATTACTTTGTGTAATGTAACAAGACAATGATAGCCCTTGTTCAATACAGACACCAATAAATTTTAACTTGCGTGTAAATTCTATCATCTGGTCATCAAATGTTAGTTCGAAAGCGAATATCTTGGCTTCGAATCCCAAATTCTCCCTGATGTCATCACCATACCCGGGCTCGGCTTTGTCTTTATTTATTCGTACATGTGTGGGCCAACGGCCCATGGTACATTTAATGGCCCACATCATTTAAAACAGATTCACGATAAGCAAAGGCATAATACATAATTGCAATATTTCTAATTATAGTTTGTTCATAGTCACACATGTAAGTATTAAAATTATCTAGTGCAGGATGGGCATAATACTTTTCATGGATATATTGTCGCCTTATATTAACGTATTCTTTACAAATTAACAAAAAGTGATATACGTTTTCCACACTACCAGTATTACATGTATTTTACAGATCCTCTTGGTGTATTATGCCGTCCTGCTTAAGTGAGTGAGTCAGTTTGGTTTTACGCCGCTTTTAGCAATATTCCAGCAATATCACGGCGGGGGTCACAAGAAATGGGTTTCACACATTGTACCCGTGTCGGGAATCGAACCCGGGTCTTCAGCGTGACGAGCGAACGCTTTAACCACTAGGCTACCCGACCGCCCACGTCCTGCTTAAGAATAACGGAAACGACTTATTGCCGACCTACATTTACCAACAGTTAAGGCAAATAAGTAGAGTTCAGCTCGTGTGTTTCACCAATGTGGTAAATGTCCAAAGTATTCTCTATCAACAAGGGGAGTCATTTGCGCCCCGTTGGGGAGTTAGCCTGAGCCTGTCTAGGGGCGTCATGTGAGCCTAGGCCCATATGACTCTGTAGTCAAATTTAAGGGGAGTCATTTGAGCCTACTCCACCGGCACGCCCTGAGATGAATGAAATACTGTTCAAAGCGATAAACCAAACTCATTGCCTTTACTTATACATTTCAGTTTAAAATTTGCGAAAGAATTGTTTTAATTGTTGTGTGCATTAATGGAAGGATAACAGTCACAATTTTAGAATAAAACTGATTATAGTTAGAATGTATTTATTTACTATTATCCTGCCTTCACAATCGCTCCGTTGTAGATGAGCTGTAAGTTGGGGCAATGTTTCTTTCCTACCAGTACAACTGACACCCCGTAATGCATAACAGTAAGGCCGACACCGTGTGGTGCCCATTCGCTCCCTCGCTCAACGCATGTCAGACAACTACTAACCCTTTCCCGCATTTACAAGTCAAAACTAGCTAGGACGTATGCCTCTAGAAAAAACAACAAATATTCATGTATTCATAATTGAGTTTTCAAAGTAAACAAATCTAATAAGCAAAGTCACATATGCGCATTCCCACATGACCTTATTGATTTGGGGTCCCTTGGGTTCAAAATTGGATCAATTTGGATGACGCGAACATTTTTCACGCAAGTGCTCACTGCCTCACACGAACAATCCAGATCGGGGAAGGTTTGCCTAGCTGATAACACTCCACCCGCCCGACCTTTGGACGCATATTACTGCTGTGTCATTCCTCTGGAGAGGAACTATATAGCTGCGGGACCTCTAGTAAATTATCACAGGTAAGCAGGCTGACGTCAAAATGGTTAAGGCAAAGAAGTGGATCCTTGCAACAAAGTTTGATGGGGAGCCAAAGGACTCCAACTTCAAGCTTGAAGAAGAGGACCTGCCTGCATTGAAAGATGGAGGTGAGAATATAATGTAGTGATAGACTTGAGATCTCCCACCCACACTGTTAATATTGCAACGCCTTGTACAGTACTAGTTAGTTTATTAAGGGAAGAATACACACTGAATAACACACGTTTGTGTGTGTGTGTGTGTGTGTGTGTGTGTGTGTGTGTGTGTGTGTGTGTGTGTGTGTGTGTTACATTCAGTGTGATTCACCTCAGCTATGTACAGAATGCCTTAATATTTCAGACTGAGTCATTTTGCAAACTGCATGTCAAATCTGTCGCTTCTATTTGACACATTGACTTATAATTATTAGAAGAATATTTTTTTGGATTCGTTCTGGCACCTTGATCACATAGGAATGTGTCCTCATTACTCCGTGGGCTGGAATGTGACTGAAAGGATGGCTGTTACGTTATAAATGTGGACTACTCCGAGAATATACCTATAATCTTGTTTATAAGTGTATTATATATAGTCACCCCTGTACAGCTGCATATTGCATCCCTTCAAAGGGTATTTATCAGCATCTCTTCGTGGACACAGGTTCTTCGCAAATGCTCATACTTCAATTTACCCTTCTGTAGATGCATAAGATATATACGTAACGCCAAAAGAAAGGCGAACCATACAATCATATACAGAAGTTATTACCTTAAGAAGAGATGTTTCCAGTGTGTATCACTAAATAACAAAACTAACAATCAGTCAAGTGTTACCACAGGGTGTCTTTATTCCTGTCACGATATGCAGCCCGTGATTTCCAAACTTTACACGCTAATCCTACACAAGACAAATGGTGCATCTCGAGTCATGGATCTATGACGTCACATGTGATGCTTTCATGAGCGTCGGTTCACACAATATTACAGTATGTTCGTTTGTTCATCGAACCAATCTGATGTCTCTTGAAAAGGAGTAATTCTTCCTATATTAACCAACATATATGGTATTCGCGTTTCTTTTGTCGGTGAGTATATTAACCGTTTATTTAAGAAATGACTTCCACTTTGTGTGAGTTCATTGGAGTATGAACCAACATAGACCGAGGGCCACACTGTATGAACGTCGGAGCTTGCGACATATATTTTTTATGTCACTATTTTCTTCTTCGAAGGATGTAGATCTATACACAAAGTTGTAAAGTACATGTGACTTCTTGTTTGCACTGACAGCCATACAACAGCCACATGTATCGCGGAATGAAGTAGTTCCTCAAAAGGAGAGGAGATATGAGCGTATGAAAGCTCACAGTGAAATCTTTTGTAGTTTGTTAACAACAAATATATTAAAATAATATAATTATTAGATGAAATAATTTCGTTATTAGATCAGAACGTCCGTTACGAACCACCCCAGTAAGCCAGTCACAATGACAGCGCGTCATAATATATTTACATGATGTACATGACGTCAAAATGGCTGACACGATGAACGTGACGGGAGAGACATCCGAAGTTGTTCATGAACATGTGGCGATTACAGGTGTTTATCATCACTGATCAATTGGTCGACCATTGAAAGTGGATTGTAAATATGTGTGAAATAGATACAAAGTTTCTGTCAGTTTTGATACGGATCCAGTCGATTTTGCAATACTTTGGATGTGAATCTCTTCGTTTTGTTCTCTATGATGGGTCGAAGCGAGGACATTCCTGAGGCCTGACTTATTCTAAAACTCAAAGTTCAAAATTAAAAGGTCTAAATGCTCAGAAACAACGCTTTGGAATGTATTCGTGCAAGGGAATTCCCAGTGGTTTCCCCAGGAATGTGGAAGAAGTCCGTTGGCGTTAACGTCATTTCAAGAATACAGTCTCGTGAAAAACGTATGAACGTCGAAATGTGTTGTTCATACAGGTATCAACTTCAGTTTCGCGGTCAAGTGATCGACCTCTCGTCCAATGTAAAGGCCGTACATCGTGTGTAACTTCACATTAAAAATTATATGTAAATGATATATATATGTATGTTTCAGAATTCATCTGTGATGCAGTATATCTCAGTGTGGATCCATACATGAGGTAAGATCGAGATAGGACTAGGTATTTATAAGCTTAGTTTGTGAACTACTCTCGGATTGAATTTGGGGACTCGAACTTCTAGGTTGGATCTCTGTAACAGCCTGTGTTTATGCGGAAAACAATGCAGTTAAACATAAACTTTGTGCTTGTACCCCAAACCGACTGTAGAACTGCATATGGCTTAACTGAATATATACTTTTATACTTGACCGACATTGTTTTTGGGTTAAACTTCTATTTCAGGGCGCATGTTTTCCCCGTCGGTAGTGTCATCATTGGCGAACAGGTAGCACGGTAAGGACTTTGTGACATCTTTTAAACCGGATTCTCAAACATTACTCTTGACTTTTGTAGATAGTAGATATTTGTACATAGATATATCATTTTGGTGTGCTTGTAAATAGAGCTATTCATTGAAATCGTTACATACATATAACTTGATACGGGATTATATACTCACAGCCAAAAGAAACGCGAACCATAGAAACATATAGAGAAGTATGTACGTTAAGAAGAAATGTTTCCAATGTGTACCAATTATTGACAAAACTAACAATCAGTCGATAGTTACCACAAAGTGACTTTATTCTTATCACGATATGCTGCACGTGATTTCCAAACTTTACACGCCAATCATGCAGGAGACAAATGTGCATCTCGAGTCAAGGATCTATGACGTCACATATGATGCGTTAATGTGCATCGGTTCACACAACATATATGTTTGTTTGCACATCGAACCAATCTAATATCTCTTGAATATGAGTTAAGGTTTCATATATTAACCAACATATATGGTATCTGCGTTTCCTTTGGCGATGAGTACAGCAAGGCCTTTGCCGCTTTTATATACAGTGCTAGGAGATGGTCCAATAAAACTAATATACGTTTTACAGAAATCCAGCTCAAGTTTCAATGAAGATTGAGTTTACTTCCACATGTCGACTCTGTCTTCAATCTGATACAGTCAAATTTTGGATATATTTCGTTTGGTTTTATTTACACATCAAGCTCTGTCTTTTTAAAGTTACATTACACGTGTCTTTTTTCATATATGATAATAAGATTATGCAGATATGGGTTAAGTTCACTCTATTGCGCTTGTTCCCAGGGTGACGGAGAGTAAAAGCAAGGACTACCCTGTAGGATGCCTGGTCCAGATGTATGCGGGGTGGCGTTCACGTACACTGGTGGACCCTAAAAATTTAAAAGCCATGGAAACATTACTTCTTCTGAAAGTGCCAGACCTTGGAAAACTAGCGCCATCCCTCGCACTTGGTGTCCTGGGCATGCCAGGGTAGGTGGTCTCATCAACAGGGAATTAGGTGTCTTGTCCGTGACGTGTCAGTGGATTCAGTTTGACGTCGGAGAATTATATGTTATGTCATTGAATTCAGTTAATTAGGAGTGATCTGAGTGAATTAGGTGTAATGTCATTTAATTAGGAGTGATGTGAGTGAGTTAGGTGTAATGTCATTTAATTAGGAGTTAAGTGAGTGAGTTAGGTGTAATGTCATTTAATTAGGAGTGATGTGAGTGAATAGATTTAATGTCATTTAATTAGGAGTGATGTGAGTGAATTGGGTTTAATGTCAGTTAATTAGGAGTGATGTGAGTGAGTTAGGTGTAATGTCATTTAATTAGGAGTGATGTGAGTGAATTAGGTGTAATGTCATTTAATTAGAAGTGATGTGAGTGAATTAGGTGTAATGTCATTTAATTAGGTGTGATGTGGGGGAATTAGGTGTAATGCCATTTAATTAGGTATAATGTCAGTGAATCAGGCGTGTGACACACTATGAATATGAGTGAACAGGCAGACGTATTAGAGTTATATCACAGCAATCTGTAAATGGTGGAATCTGGACCAACAAAACCAGTATATATTTATATTTATATCATGAACAAACATAGCCTTACTCCGGAATCCTCACTGGGTTGTTGGAAATGTATGTTAAGGACGATGATATATAGTTGGTGTCATCATTGCATGTTTATAGATTTTTATAACTTTTGCCGATTCAATTATTTATATTTAGACATTTTGATTTATGTGACTGCATCACTTTCAGGATGACAGCCTATTTCGGGTTCCTGGAACTCTGTCAGCCTAAGGCTGGAGAGACTGTGTTGGTCAACGGTGCCGCGGGGGCAGTGGGCAGTGCTGTCGGACAGATCGCCAAGATCAAGGTGAGAACATACCACAGCAACAAGCAACACCCTTTAACTCAGATTGGTAATGTGTGAGTTCAAATATATAGTTCATTTAATAAATGTTCAACAAGATGGCATTAGACAATGCCTTTGAATACGTTGTATCTTTCGAACATTGGTAGATTTCTATAGGTTGATACATTAAATTTTGAAAACAATTTACTGTCTTCTGGTAAGTTGGGCCATGTATAGTAGTAATCGTTTTGAAGTCTTTTTCTTACATATCATAGATGTGAACATTTAGGAATTGTTTCGTGTCAACTTCCCAATTAACACAATAAGTTAAGACAGAAATTTATATGCCAAAGAATTCAATGTGAAACCAACAAATAACAAAGAATTATTATACCATTAACAATTGTATTATACAAAAATAACTATGTTTACAAATCAATAAAAAATACTGCAAAGTTATTTCATTGGCAGTACACGATAGAGTGGCAGTACAAAATTAGATGGTAGTACAATTACAATGGCATAGTAAAATACAATAGCAGTTGTAATAATAATCAAGTCGGAGATAATAATATTGAAGCAGCAGCAACAAGTTTCCAAAGAGGTCTAGGATGGATATCCAGGGTGAAAATATGATCTTCACCCAACCGTTGGTCTTGATGTAATGTGAGATGAGAGAGCTATGCACTTTCCCGCTTATATAGTATAATGCCTGTGAAAATATGATCTTCACCCAACCGTTGCTCTTTATGTAATGTGAGATGAGAGAGCTATGCACTTCCCCACTTATATAGTATAAATGCCCTCTAGAAAGTTCCATTACATTTGTAGCAATACAACTAAGTATTGTTAAAACACAATGTTATGAACTTCTACAGAAGCTTAACAGAAATTATGTAATATAATTACACCATTGTTTCAGAATAAATTACTCTGCCATATAACAAAATGAACTGAAATTTGTCTCCTCCTTGTTGGAGTTAACTATAATAATGTTCTCCAATTCCGTCGGCCGGTTTCAGTAGGTACATTGTTAATTGATTACCGCTCCGAAAGTATTGTTTTGGTTGCGATAAATATGCTAGGAACTACGTAGCTTCCAAACAATGGAGAAAGTGTTTATAACTTTAGAGTCTTGACATTAGAAGAGCTACTTACTTTACTATGCGCTGCCTGTAAATATTAATCTTTGACAATTCTTTCTTCATATGATGCAATCTACGTTTTACTATATGAATGTTGCTAGACGATTTGGTTAGGTACTCCACAGGTATAAAGAATATGTTTTACATGATTAAACAAGGGATGAGTGGATTAAACTTCAAGAGCCATCCAATACTTGCGCACGATGTCATGATGAGGATGATGACGACGAATATGGTGATTATTAATATTATCCCCCGCCACGAAGTGGGGTGGGGGATATAGGGATGGAGTTGTCTATAGGAGGGTTTATGTTATGCTTCATTTTGGTGTGTTTTGTTATATAAATAAATTAAATATCGATGAAGAAGTTATTATTTTTCGTGAACGATAATATGAACTTACACAAGTGTAACTCCTACGCATTATTTCCCATATGCCATGAATTGGGTTTGAGTAACATCTGGTGTCTTCACTGATTTTCAGTGATCCATTCATACAATTTTCACCTCGTTTGACTTTTACGCCCGGTGGAATCTGTTTCGGTGAATAATCGAAAGAGATTATTGTCTGGCGTTGACGTTTTAAATATTCTTAGCCAGGAACTAGTTTTAAAATCTTCAGACGAACACGCTCAATTACATCAATATTATTAAACTCCCTTACTTCACATCCAAACATTTATATTGGCACCACGTACTTGCCAAACGCAAGCGTGGGATAATTTAGAATTGATGGCACGCCAAAGTAACAAAATATATCAAATGTCTTAAATGTAAATGTATTAAAGAAGTTGTCATCCATAAATTGTGTCTACGTAAACAAAAATGGTGATTTCATTCCAACATCAGCAATTTCTTTTGTTGCGAAGTTTAGACGGCGTTTCTATGTAAGGTTCTCTAGGTATCTATACGTGTCGACCAGCTCTATTTCTTGTCGAAGAAAGTTGAATTTTCCCAGATTAAAAATTAATAAGTTTTTTTTATATCAATATTGACTTACAGAAATATTGTTTTCAGGTGTATGTTCTAATTTTATGTTTTCCTAAGGGAATTAGAACACAAAGTGCTGACAGATTTATATAGATACATACTTTTCAGAAAAATCATTTTCAGATTTTTTTACTCCATTTTACAGGGGTGCAAGGTGATTGGCTTTGCTGGATCAAAGGAGAAATGTGATTGGGTAAAGAGTCTTGGATTTGATCACGTGTTCAACTACAAAGAAGCAGACATCAGCAAGTCCCTGAAAGAGGCGGCCCCTGATGGAATTGACTGCTACTTTGATAATGTACGTACAACGCCCACCCATTGTCAACATACTGTACTCAACGAAGGTATTTGTTTGCCCAGCTACTGGGATTGACAAGGAGTAACAGTACTGCTCTCCCCTGCATACTCAAGGCATGATTTAGATAAGACCACAATTAAGCCTGGTGTCGAACAGAATTGGGAATGTACTTGGCAGTAGGTGAATTTAGGGTTGGGCACTAAATGGATACAAGGAGACCACGGTTGGGCATTATTAGAAAGAAGGAGTTCACGGTTGGGCACTTGAAGAAACCATGTTTGGTCACTTGTCATTTGTTATTAGCAGACCAGGAATGGGCGTAAGTGATCAGTAGGAGACCATGGTTGGGCTTTGATTGGAAGAAGAGGGTCAGGGATTGTTTCCTGGACGGAAGTCCAGGGTTTGACACTTTGAGGTTAAAGGAGACAAGAGTCGTTCGTTAATTGATAATTAAGAAGGCAACTATGTATGGATGATCAACAATTAGGATTGACAAAATGGACTGTTCATTAATTAGACAGTTGGAGACCGGGATTGTTCATTAATTGTGCAGAAGAAGACCTGGGTTGTTTATTAATTGTGCAGGAGAAGACCTGGGCTATTCATTAATTAGGCAGGAGAAGACATGGGTTGTTCATTATTTGTGCAGGAGAAGTCATGGGCTGTTCATTATTTGTGCAGGAGAAAACATGGGCTGTTCATTATTTGTGCAGGAGAAAAAATAGGCTGTTCATGATTTGTGCAGGAGAAGACATGGGTTGTTCATGATTTGTGCAGGAGAAGACATGGGTTGTTCATGATTAGGGCAGGAGAAGACATGGACTGTTCATTATTTGTGCAGGAAAAGTCATGGGTTGTTCATGATTTGTGCAGGAGAAGACATGGGTTGTTCATTAAGTGTGCAGAAGAAGTCATGGGTTGTTCATTAAGTGTGCAGAAGACCCTGGTTAACTAGACTTACAACCATCATGTACTATTGCACAGTGTACAGGCGCGGTTGTACTAACTAAATCATCATGTACTATTGCACAGTGTACAGGCGCGGTTGTACTAACTAAATCATCATGTACTATTGCACAGTGTACAGGCGCGGTTGTACTAACTAAATCATCATGTACTATTTCAGGTGGGAGGAGACTTCACGTCTAAAGCACTCCAACACATGAAACTGTTCGGTAGAATCTCTGTTTGTGGTGGTATCTCAATCTACAATGCCACACAACCACGACTCAGTAAGTTTAATATATCTGACAACCCAGCTATAAAATATATTTTACCTATGAATTATTAGAAACAAATATGCACCATACTTGTTAATGAAGTGTTCTAGGCCAGTGCCTCACAGACCTATGTTGTGTTCTTTGTGTGAATAACAACTGCTCACCATGTGTTTTTGTTTATGTATTGGGTTCTTTTAGAGATTTGATCATCTTCTTAATCTGTTTTTGCTATAATAACGGTAACGCTATTTCCCAGGGTGTTATGGATTGCAAAAGTCTCCAGTCTGTTCAATGTAGAATGTGGAATATATCTATTTTATGAAAACACAACCAATCTAGATTTTTATGAAAGCAAGTCTAGCCAGCTCTGGCCACCCCTATTTCACAATCAGAGGCGGTCGGGTAGCCTAGTGGTTAAAGCGTTCGCTCGTCACGCAGAAGACTCGGGTTCGATTCCCGACAGGGGTACAATGTGTGAAGCCCATTTCTGATGTCCCCCCTCTGTGATATTGCTGGAATATTGCTAAAAGCGACGTAAGACCATACTCATTCACTCACTAGTTCACAATCAGCATCAGGAAATTTATTAGTTTTAATTTCAGACGAGAGAATTGTATTGTGGAATAAAGGATTTCAGAGACTATGTCCAATGTTAATGACATGCCTCGGGCTTCAGCAAATGATGATGGCCTTAAAATAACGTTAACGTTGTGTTACCTATTAATAGAAATACTTGTATGCTTTATATGTACATGTCGTTGCGTATTTCAGAACATTGAATGACTGGATTTGGTGTTACATTGAACGACTTATTTATGTATTAATTATTAATTTCCTTACTGCCTACTCCAAAACAAGCGTACGACCACAATTTTTTTTAACACGACCGCTGGTCAGTTCGCCCTGAGAGAAGTGATAATCTAGACTACCGTGTGTCCAAAATCCCAGCTACTGTGCATCAACAACAATGGTATTAACGATGGTTGAATCATGAAAACATCGTGACTACTTCATCACACCTCTCCAATGATCATGAACAAACAGCTCATTTCAGATTTTAGTTAAATATTAAATACAGTAAGATACGTTTGTAACGAACACCCTTATAACGAACCGACGGATATTACGAACTTAAATTTTGGTTTTGGACATTTGATGTATAGATGTTGTATATATGCTTACAACGAACTACGGTTATAACGAAATATAATTAGTGGTCCAGTTGAGTTCGCTATAACCGTAGTTTACTGTATACCTAATAGTAAATGTAAGCATGTGTTATATTTCTGCCTAAATGAAGTAAATGAAGGTAAAAAGATTTAGGATGAATGAAACCTGTATTTCCAACACGTCTCCTATTTTCGTGTGTACGTCCATGTGTGTTTTGTGTCTGTTCCAGCTCCAGATCCGTTCATGACGATCTTATCCAAACAACTTAAAGTGGAAGGTTTCATAGTGATGCGGTGGTGGGCAAAATATCCGGAGGGCAAAGCTGACATGAAGAAATGGATAGACGAAGTGAGTACTTAACAGCTGGAGTACCAATTCAACAAAATGAAAACTCAAAGTACAACTCCAGTCACTGAACAATACATAAACCATTATTCAGAAGAATCCTCACAGATATTGTAGTCAAACACCTTTTGTCTCTAAATAGATGTTTTACGAGACAAGTGCATTCATATAGATCCGGTTGTCTCGAAGGTCCATCCACAGTGAAAGTTCATTACCTCGACCTCCTCTGATTCTACATGTCGTTTAAGTCGATGTAGAATCATCACAGCCGTTGTGGTCTTCCTCTGCTCTTTCTCTCTCCAGAAGAAAATACCTGTATTTTTTAGCAGTATCCAACGAAATATATTATTTTACGTGTCATTCACTATTGTCTCTCGTAAACAGGACAGCGTGGTCCTTCAACGCAGCACACCTTCTGTTATGACTTATTTACATTGTATTCTATTCAAGGGCAAGATCAAGTACAGAGAGACGGTCAAAGATGGTTTCGAGAACATGCCCCAGATCTTCATGTCTTTGTTGAAAGGAGCCAACATTGGGAAGATGATCGTTAAAGCCTAGACCAGCCATTTGATAACTGAGTGTTGGCATTTCATTCCGCATCAATTCATGCTTATGTATACATAGTATTTGCATTTAATGTGAAACTACGTTATAGTGACGCCGTGGCTAAATCCATTATTGTGATAATGTAGGTGTGCGGTGCATATATTGAGATTTGTAACTCAAGAGACATATATACATAAGCCTAGACCAATCATTTGATAACTGAGTGTTGGCATTTCATTCCGCTCGAAATCAGTTTGAACACTACTGCACCATCGTGACATTCCTACTTATGCTGATATCATGCAGATGTAGTGTTTCGTGAAGTGAACACTGCTTGTGTGGATGGATGCATTATTGTACTAGCCAGCTGAATGCCTGTGTATATATGCGGCATTTGGAAAACATTCAGCATCAACATACCATACGCTCTGTCCCATAACATATACTGCTCAAACGAAATGGGCAGGCCAAGCCATGACAAATGAGTAATATTAAGAAATTTGGTGTTCATTAACTTCTTCACAGTAGTTTATATATGAGATGGTAGGGAAAAAATCTTCTTTTGTCGTAAATTGCTTGAAAAAAAAGTGACATAACGCCATTATTATTCTGAAGTCCAGAGGTTTTATATAGACTGATCGTTTTGTTTGCATTCCACAAAATTACAAGTTATGCCAAAACTTCATCAAATTTGCCATTCGAAAAGTTGCTTCATGTGAAACCCTTATGGTATGCCAGAAATGTGGGTTCGAATCCCGATTCGCCCTGATTATGTTTCTAGTTTTTCAGTACCACACCTGTCTGAGACGTAGAGCTGTATCACTTCGGGCCTCCAACACACGTGAAGGTGTCACGCTCTGACATAACTGAAATACTGTTCAAAGCAGTATCAAACCCAGCTCAGACACTACCAGTAAACCAGTCTGTATAAAGAATCATAGGTACCCAGTACTGCCAATCTGTGGACATTAAACGTCTCAGTTATTGTCCTGGAAACGGATGTTTCCAGACCGAAGACGTTTCTTTGTACATTGTTTCCATTCTGGCTATAAACATGTCCGTCCAAGTGTTGAATAAAGATCGATAACAAGTATACCACTCTCTTGTTTTGTTTAAGCACTTCAACAAGTTGGTTGTGAGCAGGTATGTTTCCCACAGATTGTAGCAAGAATCCAGCTATATCACGCCTGGGGACACCAAGAATGGGATACACGTGTTGTACCCATGACTGGAGTCGAACCTGGGTCTTCTGTGTGACAGCGGCTTAAACCACTGGGCTCACCCGCAGCCCGCTGCTAGCGCAGAAGATGCACTGGGTATGTGTATACACTGGACATATATGATACAAAGTAACAGTCATTGGCGTCCAAATGTCACACTACTTTACACTAAGGACTTACGTATATAATTTATGTGCCATGTCAGAGGTTTTCAGAAAGTATTCTATTCTGTTGTAGAGAGAACGGATTTACAAACGTCAGAAGGCTGCCTGTTCGCAAACTAACGATTGTATTTCTGATACTTGTATATCAATGTCGTCTGTGTCAAGACGCCATGTTTGTTTGTTGTTTTACGCCGCACTCAGCAGTATTCCAGCTATATGACGGCGGTCTGTAAATAATCGGGTCTGGACCAGACAATCCAGTGATTGACATCATGAGCATCGATCCACGCAGACCAGACCACCCGATCCCGTTAGTTGCCTCTTACGACAAGCATAGTCGCCTTTTACGGCAAGCATGGGTTGCTGAAGACCTGTCCTACGCCGGATCCTCACGCTGTACATCCAGATAATTCCAGGACTTGTGAAGGGTATGTAAGGCAAGAAAATGTAAAAGACTTGTAAATATTTAAAGTCAACGCCAGCGAATAACCAGTCCCGATTGTCCACCCAGATTTCATTGGGCGTAAAAGACAAACTGGCGGTGAAAATTATATGATTAGATCACTGAAAATCAGTAATGACACCAGGGTCCACTTGCACAAAGCGATCTTAGCGCTAAGATGATCGTAACTCCCATACTTTAACATAGGCTTACAATAGTCGTAGCGCTAAGATCGCTTTGTGCAAGTGGACCCTGGTGTTTGCGAAAAGGGTAATAATGTCCCGCCCTACCGGTCGCATCCACCATTCACACAATTTGCATTAACAAAAAGGTGTTTTTTGCCTGACGCCACACAGAAGTATTCCTGCCAAGCAACGGCGGCCTGTAAACAAACCAGACACTCAAGTGATCGATGGACCAGAACAACCATTGACACGATAGGGTATATAATGATTTCGTTGAAGCTGAAAACGGTATGTCTATTTTGGATAAACGTCGCGCCCGCCACTCACACAATGAAAAAGTGGTGTTTGTTGCCTGACCCGCACAGAATAAGTAGGGACAATGTGAAAGGAGTAAAAGTCGTGAAGGACATGTAATTCGGGAAAAGGTAAAGGACGTGGAACACGTGTAAGTCAGGAACATGTGAAGGACGTGTAAGTCAGAAACATGTGAAAAATGTGTAAGTCAGGAACATGTGAAGGACGTGTAGGTCAGGAACATGTGAAGGACGTGTAGGTCAGGAACATGTGAAGGACGTGTAGGTCAGGAACATGTGAAGGACGTGTAGGTCAGGAACATGTGAAGGACGTGTAGGTCAGGAACATGTGAAGGACGTGTAAGTCAGGAACATGTGAAAGACATGTAAGACTGAAGCCCATGAGGGACGTGTAAGACAGGAAAATGTGAAGGATGTGTAAGAGAGGAAAATGTGAAGGATGTGTAAGAGAGGAACATGTGAAGGATGTGTAAGTCAGGAACATGTGAAGGACATGTAAGTCAGGAACATGTGAAGGATGTGTAAGTCAGGAACATGTGAAGGACGTGTAAGTCAGGAAAATGTGAAGGACGTGTAAGACAGGAAAATGTGAAGGACGTGTAAGAGAGGAAAATGTGAAGGATGTGTAAGACAGGAAAATGTGAAGGATGTGTAAGACAGGAACATGTGAAGGATGTGTAAGTCAGGAACATGTGAAGGACGTGTAAGACAGGAACATGTGAAGGACGTGTAAGTCAGGAACATGTGAAGGACGTGTAAGACAGGAACATGTGAAGGACGTGTAAGACAGGAACATGTGAAGGACGTGTAAGACAGGAACATGTGAAGGATGTGTAAGAGAGGAACTTGTGAAGGATGTGTAAGTCAGGAAAATGTGAAGGACGTGTAAGACAGGAACATGTGAAGGACGTGTAAGTCAGGAACTTGTGAAGGATGTGTAAGAGAGGAACATGTGAAGGATGTGTAAGACAGGAACATGTGAAGGACGTGTAAGACAGGAAAATGTGAAGGATGTGTAAGTCAGGAAAATGTGAAGGACGTGTAAGACAGGAACATGTGAAGGACGTGTAAGTCAGGAACTTGTGAAGGATGTGTAAGAGAGGAACATGTGAAGGATGTGTAAGACAGGAGCATGTGAAGGATGTGTAAGTCAGGAACATGTGAAGGACGTGTAAGACTGGAACATGTGAAGGACGTGTAAGACAGGAACATGTGAAGGACGTGTAAGACTGGGGCACATGAAGGACGTGTAAGAAAGGAACATACATGTGAAGGACGCGTACTACAGGAACATGTGAAGGACGTTTAAGTCAGGAACATGTGACGGATGTGTAAGACAGGAACATGTGAAGGACGTGTAAGTCAGGAAAATGTGAAGGACGTGTAAGACAGGAAAATGTGAAGGACGTGTAAGAGAGGAAAATGTGAAGGATGTGTAAGACAGGAAAATGTGAAGGATGTGTAAGACAGGAACATGTGAAGGATGTGTAAGTCAGGAACATGTGAAGGACGTGTAAGACAGGAACATGTGAAGGACGTGTAAGACAGGAACATGTGAAGGATGTGTAAGACAGGAGCATGTGAAGGATGTGTAAGACAGGAGCATGTGAAGGATGTGTAAGTCAGGAACATGTGAAGGACGTGTAAGACAGGAACATGTGAAGGATGTGTAAGTCAGGAACATGTGAAGGATGTGTAAGTCAGGAACATGTGAAGGATGTGTAAGTCAGGAATATGTGAAGGACGTGTAAGACAGGAACATGTGAAGGATGTGTAAGACAGGAGCATGTGAAGGATGTGTAAGTCAGGAACATGTGAAGGACGTGTAAGACTGGAACATGTGAAGGACGTGTAAGACAGGAACATGTGAAGGACGTGTAAGACTGGGGCACATGAAGGACGTGTAAGAAAGGAACATACATGTGAAGGACGCGTACTACAGGAACATGTGAAGGACGTTTAAGTCAGGAACATGTGACGGATGTGTAAGACAGGAACATGTGAAGGACGTGTAAGTCAGAACATGCGAAAGACGTGTAAGTCAGGCACATGTGAAGGACTTGTAAGACTGGAACATGTGAAGGATGTGTAAGTCAGGAACATGTGAAGGATGTGTAAGTCAGGAACATGTGAAGGATGTGTAAGTCAGGAACATGTGAAGGACGTGTAAGTCAGGAACATGTGAAGGATGTGTAAGTCAGGAATATGTGAAGAACATGTAAGTCAGGAACATGTGAAGGATGTGTAAGGACGCTCATTGCGTATTTCTTGTTTATTGTTTATCTGTTGTGCTTTAAACGTTCCGGGACAGTGATGCCGATGTTGTCCTTGATTTTCCCCAAAGAGCTAACTCCCCATTAACATAGGGGTTGACAGTACCACACCACTGCAGGTTTCACGAACACACCAAACGTTCGCCCTGCACCACCTCTGGCTTCCTCGCCACACCAAGCTGGCACACCGTGATGCACAACTCAAGTCCAGTCCAGTCCGATTAACTACGGTTATAACGAACTCAAAGGGACCACTGAATTTAGTTCGATATAACCGTATTTCGTTATAAGAATATATACAGCATATATATAGCAAATGTCCGGGGCCAAAAATATGTTTGTTATATCCGTCGGTTCGTTATAAGCGTGTTCGTTATAAACGTAGTTTACAGTATGTCAGACAGCTGCGTACCCCCTTGCCAACACAGCGACCACCACACAACCACATTTGATCTCAGACGTTCAACTATCCATTATAGCAAGCGAGTACATGCACAGAATATCATGCACCCGCATTATCTCAGCGTGGAAATCAATCCAGGAATATATTACCTGACCGCAGTTCGAAAATATAAGCAATAAAAACTAGGCCTTGAGAAACATATTATTATCCATTTAGAACCCAGCTCATCGCGTTTCAGGTCGCTATAGATAACCTCTTCACGTCACTGCCTTACGCAAACAATGCAGACCGTTGAACAAGTTATACATACCTGCCAAACACGTTACCACCCGACCTTTACACGCATTTGTTGGTAGCCGGCCAAAGAGACCCAACATATCGGTATCACTGCTGTGTCAACCACTAGCGTAGTACGTATATATAGCTGAAGGATCACAGGTAAGCAGGCTAACGTCAATATGGTTAAGGCAAAAAAGTGGATTCTTGCAACAAAGTTCGATGGGGAGCCAAAAGACTCCAACTTCAAGCTTGAAGAAGAGGACCTTCCTGCATTGAAAGATGGAGGTGAGAATATAGTGTAGTGATAGACTTGAGATCTCCCACCGCACCGTTATAATGCCATACACAACACTGGGTTAGGGTATAGTTGACTGGCTAAGGTGCATTGAAAGAAGGTGCCTGATGATGTTATAGAAAAGTCCCATGTCATTCATTGCCGCCGCTGTTTTGGAATACCAAATGTAGTATTCATGTCCTTCAATGCGGCCGCTGTTTTGGAATACCAAACATGGGCGGATACAGCGGGCGGGGGGGGGGGGGGGTGCACAATTGAGATCTATTTATTGTCTTTGGTGGTAATTTATACAGAAATAAAGATTTTTTTTCGAAATAAAAAGGGACCACCCCCCCCACACACACACACCCCACCCCTCTGTATCCGCCCATGCCAAATTGCCAAATGTAGTATTCGTGTTATTCAATGCCACCGCTGTTGCCTATACTTTGATTCATCACTAGCAAATTTCGCCACTTGATCACAGGGAAAGATGTGTCCAACTACCTTATCTAAGCTATACTAGGTGGAATATTTTCTCTGATACTGCTTCATGCACCTTGCTTGGATTCCATTTGAACATACCGTCGTCATGTTGTTTGAATATTGCACACACCTCACTCACTCACTCTGACTACTCACTCACTCATTCACTCACTCGGATCACTGACTTAGGACTTAAAATTTGACCTGGCTGGATCCGGTTACAAAGTCCAGTCCTGGGCCTACTTGCACAAAGCGATTTTAGCGCTACAACTATTGTAAGCCTATGTTAAAGTATGGGAGTTACGATCATCTTAGCGCTAAGATCGCTTTGTGCAAGTGGGTCCTGGTGTATGTACCCCGTACAACACTACACCCAAGTCCGTGGTGACCCAGTAAGAAGGCTTAGGGACTCGCTTCACGTTGACAGACAAATAGCTGGTCGTCCCAGTTTCTGCTCCAGGCTAGTTATCTACCAAGGACACGACTAGACCCCTTCATTCAAGTGCAATGCAAGTTAGTCGAAAGCTAGTGTAAATAAAGCACTGGATATAGGGCACGGTGATTCAAAACAGCAAGTCATCCTGGTAATTTAACCGTTCATTTGTGGGTAGATTATAAAAGTTGGGGGCTGTTATATCAATTGCAGCGTGTGTGTGTGTGTGTGTGTGTGTGTGTGTGTGTGTGTGTGTGTGTGTGTGTGTGTGTGTGAACATTCTAGGACATGCACGAAACTATTTTAGCGAGTCCAATTAATATTTTTTAAATTTTTGTATCTTATATTAAAAAATACCTGAAAGAAAAGAGGACATAAATTAAATAAAAATCGCAATAACTAATTGACTGTATTGTGCCTATTATTGATATATACATAAAAGGGTATCACTAAATTTTCATGTTATTAATTCTTTTTGGGGGAAATGGCTAAACAGGCGGATCTGAAGCAGTAATATCAGGTGTAAGGAAGAGAATGTATGGAGGTCAACATCTTTATTATGAGGAGCACAACGTTTCAGAGTATATACTCACTCCTTCATCTGATCGGGGATTGGTTATGGCAATTGGTAAAATGTGTTGTTTTTAACTTAGGATATAAACATGTAGTAACCGCAACTTTGCATATGTAACCTATAATTGTAGTTATAATTATTTAAATATGCTTACCGACAACGATATATATATAATATTAACTTCCGCGTTGATGCGGCTGACAATTCCGCTGTTTCAATCAAAGGGGGTTTCTTGTGATTTGACAACCTCTGATTGACCAGTCAGAATGGAGTAATTTTCAAGAATATAGATTCAACGAGGAAGCTAACGCTTACAAATGTAGGATGACATTTAGCATAGCTATCTTATGCTTATGGTTATGGTTTCTTATGATTATGTCAGTGAAAAAACGTGTGAAGGAGGGCTGGGAACGTTTGGAAGACAGTTTATATCGGCTTTTCAAATAACACTGGAGAGAAATAGTCCCGTTTGTGTAATGTGTTTCTGGGACTAACATCATCATTTAACGGTGTAACTACACATGTATATGTGTTTGTTTATTGACATATTGTTTATATGCTTTTTCAGAATTCATCTGTGATGCAGTATATCTCAGTGTGGATCCATACATGAGGTAAGATCGAGGTTGGAGGTTTTTTTTGTCAAAATGGTTTTATTAAATTTGATGTGGGGTGAGGTGATGTGAGATGGGGTTTAACGTCGCGTCCAAGATCATTGCACTTATATAGCGACGTGTATGTACGTGTGTGTGTTTGTGTGGCTGCTTGTACTAGTCCGGACTGATGCCGATTTATAGTGCTAGCTCACTGAGATACCATGCCGCAGTTTAACATGAATACCCCACTCAGACACAGTATACTGACTCTGAGCCGACCAGTCCATGTTTTAGCCCCTTAATGTCGAGCGCCAGACAGGGTAACAACAAGTACCATATTTTAACGTCTTTTGGTTTGACGCAGTCGGGGATCGAACCCCGGACCTTCCGCTCTCCGAGCGGACGCTGTACCACAAGACCACGGAGGCGGCCCTATTAAATTGGATGTGAACTACTGTGATTGATATTAGGCCATTTGCTTTGAAAACTCAAAGCTACAGGGTGGAGCTCTGACATAACGTCTCACATGCATAGTCTGTTGTTGTGCTGAAACAGTGCAGTCCAACAAACTTTGGGCTGGTGCCGAAACCTACTGCAAGCGCATGTGGCTCAACGTGAAAAACATTTAACACCTCAGACAGTGTAGTTGGTTCCACTGCTTTTTCAGGGTGCATACTTTCCCTGTCGGGAGTTGTGTCATGGGCGAACAGGTAGCAAGGTAAGGACCATGGTGATACCTACTAACCAGTTTCTAATACTTTTGAATTTTAATCACCATAATTATGTACTATTATAGATTACTATTATACTGATTATACTGATTCAGATTACTATTATACTGATTCAAACTGTATCAAATTTACATCCTTTTAACAAGTGCTAATAATATACTTTTACAGAAATGTTCTATGTTTATCTGTCATGAATTACCGCCCTGAAGAAGCACTCCCTTAAAGAAAAAAATTTGGTTCACTATATTTACAATGCACAAAGATTTCTTTTATATATATATCATATATTGTAATGCAAAGTGTAGCTCATATGACATATTTTCCTTCAAACTTATCAGATGTCGGTTTAGACAGAGTTCACGTTCTTGTGCTTGTTCCCAGGGTGACGGAGAGTAAAAGCAAGGACTACCCTGTAGGATGCCTGGTCCAGATGTATGCGGGGTGGCGTTCACGTACACTGGTCGACCCTACAAAACCAAAAGACATGGAAGCCATTCAGTTCCTCAAAGTGCCAGATCTTGGAAAACTGGAGCCATCTCTCGCACTGGGAATCTTGGGCATGCCAGGGTAGGTGCTCTCATCAACAGTGATTTAGGTGTAGTGTAAGTGATGTAAGTAAATTAAGTGTGATGTAAGTAAATTAAGCATGATGTTAGTAAATTAAGTGTGATGTTAGTAAATTAAGTGTAATGTAAATTAAGTATGATGTTAGTAAATTAAATATGATGTAAGTAAATTAAGTATGATTTTAGTAAATTAAGTATGATGTAAGTAAAGTAAGTATAATGTTAGTAAATTAAGCATGATGTAAGTAAATTAAGTGTGTTGTAAGTATAGTAAGTATAATGTTAGTAAATTAAGTATGATGTTAGTAAATTAAGTATAATGTAAGTAAATTAAGTATGATGTAAGTAAATTAAGTATGATGTTAGTAAATTAAGTATGATGTAAGTAAAGTAAGTAAAATGTTTGTAAATTAAGTATGATGTAAGTAAAGTAAGTGTGTTGTAAGTAAATTAAGTATGATGTTAGTAAATTAAGTGAGATGTTAGTAAAGTAAGTAAAATGTTAGTAAATTAAGTATGATGTAAGTAAAGTAAGTGTGTTGTAAGTAAATTAAGTATGATGTTAGTAAATTAAGTATGATGTAAGTAAATTAAGTATGATGTAAGTAAGTTAAGTATGATGTTAGTAAATTAAGTATGATGTAAGTAAATTAAGTATGATGTTAGTAAATTAAGTGTGATGTTAGTTAATTAAGTATGTTGTTAGTAAAGTAAGCGTGTTGTAAGTAAATGAAGTATGATGTAAGTAAATTAAGTATGATGTAAGTAAATTAAGTATGATGTAAGTAAATTAAGTATGATGTTAGTAAATTAAGTATGATGTAAGTAAAGTAAGTAAAATGTTAGTAAATTAAGTATGATGTTAGTAAATTAAGTATGATGTAAGTAAATTAAGTGTGATGTTAGTTAATTAAGTTTGATGTTAGTAAATTAAGTGTGATGTTAGTAAATTAAGTATGATGTTAGTAAATTAAGTGTGATGTTATTAATTAAGTGTGATGTTAGTAAATTAAGTGTGATGTTAGTTAATTAAGTGTGATGTTAGTAAATTAAGTGTGATGTTAGTTAATTAAGTGTGATGTTAGTAAATTAAGTGTGATGTTAGTTAATTAAGTTTGATGTTAGTAAATTAAGTGTGATGTTAGTTAATTAAGTGTGATGTCAGTTAATTAAGTGTGATGTAAGTAAATTAAGTGTGATGGTAGTTAATTAAGTGTGATGTCAGTAAATTAAGTGTGATGTTAGTTAATTAAGTGTGATGTTAGTTAATTAAGTGTGATGTCAGTGTATTGGAAGTAATGCCAGTAAATTAGATGCGATGTCAATGAATTAGGTGTTAACAATGAGTGAGTGGGTGAATGTTTTTAACGCCAGTCAGCAATATCCCAACTAAATCACACCAGCCTGTTAAAATAGAGTCTTGACAAACCAGTGGTTGATATTATGAGAACGAGTATGTCGGCTAGTAGATATCAATGATTTTGCAGCTTCGATTTTTGTGAGACTTTGTGGATGTCCCTAGGTTTTGGCATTTTGATTTACGCGACTGCATCACTTCAGGGTGACGGCCTATTTCGGGTTCCTGGAGATCTGTCAACCTAAGGCTGGGGAGACTGTGTTGGTCAACGGTGCCGCGGGGGCAGTGGGCAGTGCTGTCGGACAGATCGCCAAGATCAAGGTGAGAACATACCACATATTACATAATGAATACACCAGGGATGGTCACCACTTTATTCATTTTACTAGATCACTATCACTTTGGACCAATGATCAATTTAATAATACCTTTATATCAAAAGAAGGGGTGAAGTTGTGATGAAGTTACTCACTATGTCACGGTGTAGTTGCTAGTAGTTAACTACAGTTGAATGTACTTGTACCCGGCAACTTATACCCAACAACTCTCAGAATACATACATGATGCTGCAAAAGCCCCCCATCTGCCATCCCTCTGAATCCACTGGGACAAACACGTATATCACTTGTCGCAGGACCAACGGACCAGTGGCTAACCCATTCAGATAACCCATTGTTTACTGGGATTATTTCAGCTTTGTTTGAATATTTCTATACATGGAATACCCACGTAAGTTAACTTGACTTTTGATATTATCAGTTCGGATTATATGAATGTTGTTATTTACATGAACGATTACAGTTGCTCAGTAGATGGTACTGGAACGGTATAAAACTGTTATTGTTGACTTACTTTTCGGAAAACAGATTGTTTCAATTCCATTTCACAGGGGTGCAAGGTGATTGGCTTTGCGGGAACAAAGGAGAAATGTGATTGGGTGAAGAGTCTTGGATTTGATCACGTGTTCAACTACAAGGAAGCTGACATCAGCAAGTCCTTGAAAGAGGCGGCCCCTGATGGAATTGACTGCTACTTTGATAATGTACGTACAACACCCATTTTATTCGAAAATTTACCAGTGCCAAAGTTGGGCACTGATTTGGCATTTGGAGACCAGGGCTGTTTATAATTAGATATATTAGATGGAAGCAATGGGGCAGTAGACTATCTGCAAGTTGCACAGCGACGGGGTTAGTAACTAAAGACTTACAACCATCATAAACTTTTGCAGGTTGGAGGAGATTTCACTGCTAAAGCACTTCAACACATGAAACTGTTCGGTAGGATTTCCATTTGTGGTGGTATCTCAATCTACAATGCAACAAAACCACCACTCAGTGAGTATTTATCGAGTAATACATCCATGAACTTTCCTCTTCATTTGTTAAATGATAAATATATGCACCTAGATATAGCTGTATACGTATTTCAGGCTTAGGGTTGTGTAAATCTGTCACATTTCTGTAAATACATATTTTTAAAATAAACATTACTTCCATTAACACAAAAAAACTACATTTCCTACAAGGCTCCTTCTTTCTTCTGTACATCCATGGGTTTATTGTGTGTATTCAGCTCCTGGTCGAGAAAGTGAGATATAAAAAGATAACACAAAAACTACATTCCTACAAGGCTCCTACTCTCTTCTGTACAACCATGTGTGTAATGTGTGTGTTCAGCTCCAGGTCGATAAAGTGAGATTTAAGGAGATAACACAAAACACTACATTTCCTACAAGGCTCCTACTCTCTTCTGTACATCCATGGGTTTATTGTGTGTGTTCAGCTCCAGGTCGATGAAAGTGAGACAGAAAGAGATAACATGAGAAAACTACATTTCGAACACGTCTCCTATTTTCGTTTGTATATCCATGTGTGTTTTGTGTCTGTTCCAGCTCCAGATCCGTTCATGACGATCTTATCCAAACAACTTAAAGTGGAAGGTTTCATGGTGATGCGATGGTTGGAAAAATATCCGGAGGGCAAAGCTGAAATGAAGAAATGGATAGACGAAGTGAGTTCTTAACAGCTGGAGTAACAACTCAACAAAATAAAAACTCAAAGTACAATTCCATTCACTTAACAATACATAAACCATTATTCAGAAGAATCCTCACAGATATTGTAGTCAAACACCTTTTGTTTCTAAATAGATGTTTTACGAGTGTATCCATATAGATCCGGTTGTCTCGAAGGTCCATCCACATTGAAAAATCCTTACCTCGAACTCCATTACCGTATCGTTTAACTTTATGGCCCTAGTAGAATCCTCACAAACGTTCTTGCCTTATTTTGTCACTACGGCAGTCTCGAAATGTGAATAATATGGTAATTAATTCTTTCCATTATGTCTACGACTTCGTGTTGATGCGGTTTCACATGTAAAAAAAATATTGTTTGACCTCCACTTCTTTCGGGGATTATAGTAGGTCATATCCTTTGTTAAACTTTAATCAAGATTCTCAATACTTTAAAACAAATAGATATCTGATCACTTTCATAGAGCTTGTTTTACATTGTATGCTATTCCAGGACATGATCAAATACAGAGAGACGGTCAAAGATGGTTTCGAAAAATACCTGTATATGTAGCAGTGTCCAACGAAATAAATTATTTTACGTGTCCATCACTATCGTCTTTCGTAAACAGGACAGCGTGGTCCTTCAACGCAGCACACCTTCTCTTATGACTTATTTACATTGTATTCTATTCCAGGGCAAGATCAAGTACAGAGAGACGGTCAAAGAGGGTTTCGAGGACATGCCCCAGATCTTCATGTCTTTGTTGAAAGGAGCCAACATTGGGAAGATGATCGTTAAAGCCTAGACCAGCCATTTGATGACTGAGTGTTGGCATTTCATTCCGCTTTAGATCAGTTTGAACACTACTGCACCATCGTGACATTCCTACTTATGCTGATATCATGCAGATGTAGTGTTTCGTGAAGTGTACACTGCTTGTGTGGATAGATAGATTATTGTACTAGCCAGCTGAAGGTCTGTGTATATATGCGGCATTTGGAAAACATTCAGCATCAACATACCATACGCTCTGTCCCATAACATATACTGCTCAAACGAAATGGGCATTTCAAGCCATGACAAATTAGTAATATTAAAAAATTGGGTGTTCATTAACTTCTTCACAGTAGTTTATATATGAGTTCTTACATAGACTATGATAGTTTTGTTTGCTGTCCACTATATTATGTTCGCGATCAGTAATTCAGATACGTCATCTAATTTGTCTTTAGGGGCGGTCGGGTAGCCTATTGGTTAAAGCGTTCGCTCGTCATGCCGGAGACCTGGGTTCGATTCCTGACATGGGTACAATGTGTGAAGCCCATTTCTGGTGTCCCCCGCCGTGATATTGCTGGAACATGCTAAAAGCGGCGTAAAACCATACTCACTCACTCGCTCGCTCGCTAATTTGTCTTAGTGGGTACGAAAAGTGGCTTCATTTGGATTGTGAAACCCCTTAGGCGGTCCAGAAACGTGTGTTCGAATCCTGATTAGCTATGAAGCCTAGACCAGCCATTTGATCCCCGAGTGTTGGCATTTCATTCCGCAGTTATTCGTACGCACTTCAGTGTCAGTGAAGTGTGCAAATACTCGATATATCCATCATTTTGATATTATAGCCGTGTGATATTGTTGTGGAGATTTGTAACTCGATAAACATTAACAAGATCAACATTCCATCATATATATATCTATAAAACGATGGAAAGAAAACCTTGTTTTGTCGTTTATTGTTTGAAATAAAGAGGTATCTGTAATAAACAATTACATTCAAAATAACGTTTCTCTAATTCTGAATTTCTGAGTTTCATATAGAATGTGATAGCTTTATGTGTTTTCCTCTGTTTATATGATGGAATCATTAGCTGACTCATTTAATTTATCAAAGTGGACGCAAATAGGGGTTTCGTGTATATAGTGACACCACATTCCGATCCGAGGGAAAGGCAGCGGTAGGGTAACTTCTTTCAGTGGCATTTAGAAGTTGGTTCCATCATCTCCATCAGTCTGCTTGTTCACTCTGTGTTCATTAGTCATCCACTGGCTTCCAATTATCTTAATCATCCCTCTGTGTCCATCAATCAATTAACTGTATAACATTTGTTGTTAATAAGTATGTATACCTATGTTGTTTAGCACTATTCATCACTTGCTTGATAAAGGTGTTAGGATCTACACCAAAACGTCGCACTAATTGTAATAAAGAAGTTGTTCGTCCATAGAACTCGTCTTACTTCAGGGGTAGGGTAGCTTCGTTGTTAAAGCGTTTTGCTCGGGTTCTACAATGTGAAAAGTGAATGGACTTCTTGTGATATCGCAAGAGCATTGCTGCAAGCAGAGAAGAACCATATACTCCGGTCATGTGACATTTCTGAAACAAACCAGAGATGAAAATAAGTGTACATTTATTTCCAATTTTGATTATAAACGCGTCTTGTATGTAAAGACTGACCTACTACTCGGGTAACCTACGTGCACCTGTGTTAACCATATCAACTAGTTGAGTTCTCGATGACGAGAATAATTGTGTGCATTGATCTTGAAGTCCTCCTTGGTGGTGAAAAATGATCGATAACACGTATACATTTCTTGTGAGGTTTTAGTACAAGGAGTGTGAGTGAGCAGGTATGGTTTACATCGATTTTTAAGCAATATTTACACAAATTTATTTTGAGCAATATTCCAGCTATATCACGGAGACACTAAGGAAGGACGAGATGAACAAATTGTACCAATGAATGGATTCGAACACGGGTCTTCGGTGTGGCAACCGTTTTAACCACTCGGCTTCCCCGCGGCTCTCTGTTGTTCAGACTGGACTGACTGACTGACTGAGTATGGTTTTACGCCGCTTTTAGCAATATTCCAGCAATATCACGGCGGGGGACACCAGGAATGGGCTTCACACATTGTACCCATGTCGGGAATCGAACCCGGGTCTTCGGCGTGACGAGCGAACGCTTTAACCACTAGGCTACCCGACCGCCCCTGTTCAGACTGGACTTACTATGAAAAGGGTGTATTCATATTAGCAGCACATGCGGTACATGTGTCGCATTATAATAGTTTTTATGCTATCGGCGATATATAAATATAGTTTATATTCATAGTATATATGCCATGTCAGACGTAGTGAGAAGTACTCCAGTTTTAGAGAGACGGAATCAACAAACTACGTAAACACGCAACTTGTTACTGACGATTGTATTTATTGAAACACAGGGTATTGTAAGGAAGTATAAGTAAGAAATATATATATGACGTAGTTAATTCAGGAACAAGTAGATCAGACGTAACACAGAAATGACGTATGGCGTATGAGTGACGTTAGAAGTTAGAATTGCATGATATTTAAACCAGTGTAGAGCAAGTGGTATTGTGGCGGTCTCTGATTCGCCCTAATTATGATCCTTGGTTTTTCAGTACCATACCACTGTAGGTATCGCCAAGAAGGTAAACATTTACGCTGCATTACTTTCGGCTTTCTTACCGCAGCAAGCTGACACGCCATGATATATAATTCACTCTCTCAATAATTTGTCAGCCGCATAGGATTTTTTAAAATATTTTTTGTTTAACGCCGCACTCAGCATAATCCAGCTATATGACGGCGGTATGTTAATAATCAAGTCTGAACCAGACACTCCAGTGATTGACATCATGAACATACGATCCACGCAGCTGAGATACGATGACATGCAACAACCCAGTCAGCAAGCCTTACCACTCGATCCCGTTAGGTGAGGTTGAAACATTAAACGATTGTTCACCACACAGAACGCTTAACACCAGCAAAGGAACTGCGAGAGACCGGGTTCGATTGTTCACGAACACGAAAGAAATGGATATTGTCTCAGAAATGAGTCAATTCACCAAAACGATTCACCAACCGTAAAATTTCGGAAACCTTTCAAACAAACACCGACCCCTTTTCTCCGAAAGCTCCAAAGTCAATATAGGCAGGCTACTGCAATATTAATGTTACACATACATACACAAATGCCACACGTACTGCCATGGTATCAACAAATGCGCATTGTCTGTCACATGTGCTTACCGTCGTCAGAAAACACACGTAACGGATTTGTGACAGTAGGTTTAAAAAGTGCACCAGTGAGTGAGTTGGGTTTAACGCCGCTTTTTACAGTATTCCAGTTATATCACGGCGTGTCAGCTTAATGTGGGAGGAAAGCCCGAAGTGATGCAGTTCTCAGACGTTTACCAGTTCGGTGAAACCCACGAGCACGGGTATGGTGCTGACAAACCTAGAAACATAATCGGGGCGAACCGGGATTCGAACCCACAATCATAGGTTTCTGGCTAGCCCAAAGGACGCAACTCTGCACAGCGAATCGCGGCGCCTTAGACGACTGGGCCACCCGTGCCCCCCAAAAAGTGCATCAACTGTTCAGGACGTCACCCATCCTTCTCCAAAGACAGGAAGCAAAACATGGAAAACCATTAAATTAAATTCACAAGAAACTAGTTTTGATGATGCTAAAAAGCTTTACGAAAGACAGAATCAAACGAAACCCATGCTGCCATCGCCAGGATCACAAACAACCCCAAAAGAACCCACTACACCTGTAACCACTTTGTCCATCATCTGCCAAACATACTTGGCATGGGTGAGCACGATACTCCTCAAGTATTCTCACCTGAACAGTCATCTCACTCTGCAGATTCATGTCCTAACATACCGAACCTATCCCAAGTTCACCCACAGTCATCTTCTTTATCTCAAGAAAAAATATCATCCACTCCACAACTTCAATCCCAGTATGAAACAATTGTCAAACAAATTGTAAAATCTAAAAATCCAACCTAAAACAGAATTAAAGAAATATCAAAGTGGCAGAGCCCGAAAAGGATCAGACAACCAGGTCCTATTGTTTAACAAGTTGGGATTCCTCGTGGGCATGGATGCGTCCGACAATAGTCATCAATGGGCACATAGCGTTTCGCCCTCAAAGAAAGGACGGGGTAGATCCCCCAAAAATCCTCCGAAGAGACAGCTTCTTCACATATTGTACAATGGAATTGTGGAATACTGAAGAATAATTTTAATTAATTATAGCTATTAGTACGTGATGTTAAAGCATCAGCGTTCTGTCGACAAGAAATGTAACTAAAGCAGACAAGTTTAACTTACGGCAGTTAAATGCATATCATAATTTTTCTCCTCTGGGGATCTTCAATCATTGCGAGGCAGGGTGTTATCCACAGCTCTGTTCATGACATATCGGCCTCATATCTAAAATGCTTTCCTCAAATACCTTAAAACATGATCTTTTCATAGAGGTTCCTCATCCTTTACAATTATTCTCTGATGAACTGCACATATAGCTGATTAATGTATTCCTAAGCCCTCTACAAATCCACATATCCGTAAATCATGGTTTAAAAATGATTGCAAACTAGCAAGGAAGGCACGGGAAAAGGCAATATTTAAAATATTTCCGTTGCCATCTGTGGGTATATATTTTTAATAAATATACATTTTTGATGCTAAAACACGACACGTTAAAAACAAATAAACGCCAGTCTTGGTAACATTATGTTTCCAAAATAGATTCTCGTACGCCTACGTCCAAGGTATTAAAACATGATAAAACAATCAAAGGTAATGGTTTAAAATCTAGCATTCACCATCATAAAAATGGAGATAGATTATACACTGATAAATCTGATATTACAAATGAACTTGGTGAAATTTTGGCTAAGCATGCTTCCTCAACTAACTATGTACCTCAGTTCCAAAAATACCAAATACAGCCAGAAAAGAAATCTATTAATTTTAATGCAGCTAATGGGGAATATTACAACGAAGTGTTTTCAATACAAAACTCCAAGCTCATAATACTGCCACTGGAGCTGATAAAACACACCATCATCACCTAAAAAACTCCTGGAAAACCTTTTGAACATATTTGATGAAATTTGGACATCAGGAACATTTCCTTATGCTTGAGGGGCGGCAGGGTAGCCTAGTGGTTAAAGCGTAAAAGGTGACTATGCTTGTCGTAAAAGGCGTCTAACGGGATCGGGTGGTCAGGCTCGCTGACTTGGTTGATGCATGTCATCGATTCCAATTGGGTGGATCGATGCTCATGATATTAATCACTGGATTGTCTGGTCCAGACTCGATTATTTACAGACCGCCGTCATATAGCTGTAACATTGCTGAGTGCGGTGTTAAACAACAAACCAACCAACTATAACTGATACAGTTTAATAATTCTGTAGGAAGTTTCTGTCTACATTGACTTGACGAGTTACTGTACCTAACAAATTTAACTTTTTCATTCCACCTGCACACTGCCTCAAACAAACAATCCAGATCGTTGACCATATTTTATCCAGACTTGACGTCACGCTGACCTCGTCATTCTGACATGGAGGTATGACAAACAGAGTTATGCCCAGCTGATAATACTCCACCCGACCTTTGGACATATGTGTTGGTTGCCGGCCAAGGAGACTCAATTCAATATTACTGCTGTGTCATTTCCCTAACGTAGCACGTATATATAGCTGCGGGACCTCCAGTTAATTGTCACAGGTAAGCAGGCTGACGTCAAAATGGTTAAGGCAAAGAAGTGGATCCTTGCAACAAAGTTTGATGGGGAACCAAAGGACTCCAACTTCAAGCTTGAAGAAGAGGACCTGCCTGCATTGAAAGATGGAGGTGAGAATATAGTGTAGTGACAGCCTTGAGATCTCCCACCCACACTGTTAATATTACAACGCCATGTACAGTACTAGCTAGTTTATTAAGGAAGGAATATACACTCAATAACACACGTCCATATATATATATATGTGTGTGTGTGTGTGTGTGTGTGTGTGTGATTTTTGTCATGATTTTGTCTGTCTATCATGTGTGTGTGTGTGAGTGAGTTTGTGTATGTGATTTTTGTCATGACTTTGTCGCCATGTGTGTGTGTGTGTGTGTGTGATTTTTGTCATGATTTTGTCTGTCCATCATGTGTGTGTGTGTGTGAGTGTGTGTGTGTGTGTGTGTGTGTGTGGGGGGGGGGGGGGGGGGGGGTATGTGGTATTCATGTCATTCATTGCCACCTCTGTTGCTCTGATATTGGGATTTATTATTCGGAAATTTACAATTTCGCTCCTTGAGCACAAATGTAGGGAAAATGTGCCCCACCTCCCTATGTGGGATATTCCAGGCGGATTAGTTTCTCTGCAACTGCTTCATGCACATTATATCTCGCAACTTTTACAAACGTTGCTTCGGATCGTTGATCTTTAACTTTACAATACGGCCTGAATACATTTACAAACACCTACATACTGCAGGTACCAGTCAAGCCACAGTACTACGCCCAAGTCTGTGGCGACCCATTTCGAAAGTCTAGTCGCTCGCTTAATGTTGACAGAGAGCTGATCGTCCCACTTTATTCTCCAGGTTATTTATCTAACAAGGTCACGACTAGGCCTCTTCATACAAATTTGGTTTGTATGGTTTGAGTAATCACCTCCTGTCCATAGACTGGCGATATTTGTATAAACATACGCGTGTAACTACAGCTCTTCTCACTGGATACAGGGCATATGTGCGTGTGTGTGTGTGCGCGTTTGTGTGTGTGTGCGTGCGCGTGTGTGTGCTTGCGTGCTTGCGTGCGTGCGTGCGTGCGTGCGTGTGTTGTGCGTGTGTTGTGTGTGCGTGCGTGTGTGTGTGTGTGTGCGTGTGTGTGCGTGCGTGCGTGCGTGCGTGTGTTGCGTGTGTGCGTGCATGTGTGTGTATGTGTGTGTGTGTGCATGCATGTGTGTGTGTGTGTTTGCATTCGGGTTTGTGTGTCTGTAAACAATCTAGAACACGTAAGGCAGTCCAGTTACTTGTTTTTTCGGATTTTTATCCCAAAAACAACAGAAGGCAGGAAGCACAACAACAACCAAAAATCTCAATGACTATCTATACCCTGCAAAATAAGTCAAATCGTACATATGTGACGGAGTGTTGCCGACATCCATACCAAAGTTAATAGCAAAATTGACTCGGTCATTTCTCCATTGTTTGGATTTGATTTTTGTGGAAAGAAAAAGGTACTGCAGAAAGTTGGTGAAAAGATGGAAAAATCGCAAAAAAAACACGTGTGAGCCTGGCACACCAACATGACTTGCACGTGCAAACATCACTTGATGGACATGCCGTCACAATCCTACTGCAAGTGAACAGCGAAAACATGCCAGGACTGACGGAAGCCCAACGCAACAACGCTATCAGACACACGGGACAACACGTAACCTTCCCTGATCCGGTCGACCGCGTATCCCTGCTAGACAGACAGACAGACAGACAATAGTTTATTAACGTCTTACTTCTGTACATACATAAAACAGCTTTGTACAACTTGACATAGATAGAATGTACAGAACCATTCAATAGAATTATGAGAGACGAATTATCCAAAATTTATACATAAATGATATAAAGATGATATAGTAAAAAGTTATCCATATAAAAGATGTTTTCTACGTTTAAGAATTAAAAAGCAGACTTTGGCAAGTATAAAACACACACTGGAGTCACTGAAAATTAAACAAAGTTTGTCGATATCAGGTATATCTAAAACATTATAAGATTTAGCAAAACATTCATCAAAAAGAGTTGCCCTGATATCATCAAATAATGCGCAGTGAAACAAAACATGGACCTCGTCTTCTACGCTGTCATTACAGTGAAAACATTTTCTGTTGTTGACAGGTACACCTTCGTATCGACCGGTTTCCACTCGAATAGGAAACTTGGCTAGTGCCGATCTATAGTTTCTAGGCATCTTATTTGAAACATAGTATTCTGTCCCATATACTTGTTTGTAACATCGATACATTCTCAATTTATTAAGCCCATTTCGCCCCTCTTCCTTTCTTAACATATCACTCCAACGGGTAACATATTCATTTTTACACCATTGTTCCAACTGTGTACAAACAGACAATTTATCAATAAAACCTGTATCGTTTAATAGATGTCCTAAATCCATATTAGTAAACTTCTTTCTTACCCTACCATTCCAATTTTTACAACCATTTACAGCGTATCTATCATCCCAGTTAAACACGTGTTTGGTTAACCTGCTAGACATATTCTTAAGGCGACACCATTGTCCTGCTACACTTTTCCACTGTCTGACAACAGGCTGTATCCATCCCATGTCCCCATTTATAGCGACGTTAGGGGCGTATTTGCCGAGTCCCAAATAAAATCTAATGGCTCTATGGTTTACAGCATTTATTGCTGACACATCATAATTACCCCAGATAGCCGCCCCGTAGTCAAGAACAGACCACACCATACTATCGTACATTTTGGAATAGGTTTGGAAATGCATACCGCCTATTGTCTTAACTTTGGATATCAACAGGCCCAAAGCCCTATTAGCAGACTTCGCTGCTGCACGTGCCATTGCAGTAAAATCTAAGTGGTCTGTGAACAGTAGACCAAGATAATTATACTTAGCAGCAATGTCTAAAATCATATTTCCGACATTAAAAACATGTTTCGTCTGTATGACAGACGGATTTCTAAAATGGACAATTTTAGACTTTTCCTTATTGATCTCTATCTTATTTGTGCGAGTGCACAGGACAGATTCATACGGCTATGTCTCTTACGTAAACAAAGAACCACCACCGCCACCTCTTCTACTACGGTAATACCAGGATTGTGGAGGATATCAGCCCAAACAGTGGGGAACCGTTTACGCTCTGAAGGTATTTTGCGCTAGACGGCCAGTTCGACGTGTCAGTTTTACCTACATCGTCGGCTGCGGCGTCATTTGTGTCAAGGTCACAGAGTCTGTCCCCACCGCGATGAAGACAAGTTAGTTTAGCGACGAGTCACGTTTTATGCTTCGCCATGGGGACGGCAAACGTCGTGTTTACAAGCATCCCGGGGAACGTTATGCACGAAACTGCATACAGGAAGTGGACAGATTTGTTGGTGGTACTGTTATGATGTGGGTAGCCAACTCCTACACTGGTGACCGCCTCCGTGGTCTAATGGTAGAGCATCCGCCCGGAGAGCGGAAGGTCCGGGGTTCGATCCCCAGCCGCGTCATACCAAAAGACGTTAAAAGATGGTACTTGTTGTTACCATGTCTGGCGCTCGGCATTAAGGGGCTAAAACAAGGGCTGGTCGGCTCGGAGTCAGTATACTGTGTCTGAGTGGGGTATTCATGTTAAACTGCGGCATGGTATCTCAGCCCCCCCCCCCCCCCCCCCCCCCCCCCCACTGCGGGGAGGATGGGTTAACATTACCCAGGCCACAATTCGCTATGCAATTACTTCCACGGGACGACGATGCCAGTTTTGGATTCTAATAGTGGCCATACATGATATTGAGGACAACTAACCTTCACCTTGAAAGTATACTGTTCCGTGTGTGCCGTTTGCACCCGTTGGGCACGCCAGAAACCTATGATTGTGGGTTCAAATCCCAGTTCGCCCCAAATATGTTTCTAGGTTTGTCAGCACCATAACCTTGCTCGTGGGTTTCCCCGAAGTGGTAAACGTCTGAGACCTACATTAGTTCGGGTCTCACACTGCCTGCACACTATAAACTGACACGCCGTGGGAGCACTCTGTCGTTAAACTCAACTCACTCACCCTTCCATCACAAAGCATTAGATGTTTTCTTGTCATTGTAGTGATATTTGCGGTTGGTCATGACATCAAATGTTAAGCATGTATTTTCTTTCTTTCTTTACAATCAAAATAAACTATAAAATGTGTTTTATCGAACATTCAAGGGGGCATTTTAAGCTAAAAAAATGTAGGGTGCATTAAGATGAGTGAGTGAATATGATTTTACGCCGCTTTTAGCAATATTCCAGCAATATCACGGCGGGGACACCAGAAATGGGCTTCACACAGTGTACCAATGTCGGGAATCGAACCCGGATCTTCGGCGTGACGAGCGATCGCTTTACCGACTAGGCTACGAGACCGCCCCACATTAAGATGACCTTTAGCAGTGATATATTATGATTACTTAAAGAGTTATGTTGCTTTTATTTAGAAGATTAAAGTTTAACAGGGAGCAAAGCAATAATGAACAAAGTTTGAAGGGGACTCTGGGGGCACGGGTGGCCCAGTCGTCTAAGGCGCCGTGATTCGCTGTGCAGAGTTGCGTCCCATGGGCAAGCCAGAAACCTATAACTGGAATACTGATAAAAGCGGCGTGAAAACCCAACTCACTCACTTACTCACTCATTGACCCATTTTTACCCACAGAATCAGCTTAATTAAAGAAATAAGCAAACGTAGTAGAAATCGTTATAAAAGTTTTCAAATATGTTCGTATGAAAAATAAATTAAAATTTGTACATTTTATGACCAATAACTGCCTCTTTTCTGTCCATTTTACAGAGGTCTCCGAAAGAAATATATCAACGGTTATTAAATATGTCACCAATATACGTTGTATTTATTTTTACGACAAAGCACGAATCATATATGTTAAATCTACCTCCATATGATAAACATGCATCAGCCAAAAGAAATTACCTAATTAAACTACGTGTCTTTCACTATGTGTAACATTTATGATTTTATTTGTATGTATGTCTTTCTTTCATATGGGCCGGAGGCCATTTGTGTAATAAACCTCTTTTCACTTTGACTTTTAAGAACAGTGTGTTGGTAACGCAAAGCTCACATGTGTGAAAATACGCATGTAGGGGGGCAGGGAATGTTTGGAATCAATTGGGGGGAAATATTCCAGTGGCTGTAAATTTATCATCATCAGATTATAGTTTCACTTTACGTGTATTTGTATATATGCATATAATGTATATGTATGTTTCAGAATTCATCTGTGATGCAGTATATCTCAGTGTGGATCCATACATGAGGTAGGCCTAGTTTTGTCAAATGGTTTATTAGATTGGACATAAACTGCTCTGTTATAGAATTTGGGCCATCTGCTTTGGAAATCCGAACCTTCTGGTTGGAGTGAATCTCTGTAATGCAGAACCTATTGGGTGGAGCTCTGAAATAATATCACACATGCAGAACCTATAGGGTGGATATCTGAAATAACGTCACACATGCAGAACCTATAGGCCATCTTCCCGAGGCAAGGGCGTTATCTGACTATAAAAGTCCAGTTTCCACCCTTGCCGAACTAGGCTCGATCGTATCGCCACCGGTGGCTATTATGACTTATGTCCCTTCTATGTACCCCCTGTTGATCAGATTCCACCTCTCATATGACTCATATGACACCTATAGGGTGGATATCTGAAACAAAACGTCACACATGAAGAGCATAACGGCACAGATTTAGAACCTATATGGTGGAGATCTGAAATAACGTCACACATGTAAACCCTAATACGTAGGATCTCTGAAATAACGTCACATACGTAGAGCCTAATACGTAGGATCTCCGAAATAACGTCACACATGTAGAGCCTAATACATAGGATCTCTGAAATAACGTCACACATGTAGAGCCTAACACGTAGGCTCTCTGAAATAACGTCACACATGTAGAACCTATTGAAGTGAATATCTGAAATAACGTCACACATGCAGAACCTACAGGGTGGATATCTGAAAGAACGTCACACATGCAGAACCTACAGGGTGGATATCTGAAATAACGTCACACATGCAGAACCTACAGGGTGGATATCTGAAATAACGTCACACATGCAGAACCTACAGGGTGGATATCTGAAATAACGTCACACATGCAGAACCTACAGGGTGGATATCTGAAATAACGTCACACATGCAGAACCTACAGGGTGGATATCTGAAATAACGTCACACGTGCAGAACCTACGTATACAGGTTGGATATCTGAAATAACGTCACACATGCAGAACCTACAGGTTGGATATCTGAAATAACGTCACACATGCAGAACCTACAGGGTGGATATCTGAAATAACGTCACACGTGCAGAACCTACAGGGTGGATATCTGAAATAACGTCACACATGCAGAACCTACGTATACAGGTTGGATATCTGAAATAACGTCACACATGCAGAACCTACAGGTTGGATATCTGAAATAACGTCACACATGCAGAACCTACAGGGTGGATATCTGAAATAACGTCACACATGCAGAACCTACGTATACAGGTTGGATATCTGAAATAACGTCACACATGCAGAACCTACAGGGTGGATATCTGAAATAACGTCACACATGCAGAACCTACAGGGTGGATATCTGAAATAACGTCACACATGCAGAACCTACAGGGTGGATATCTGAAATAACGTCACACATGCAGAACCTAAGTCTGTGTTTGAAATGAAAACCTTTAAAATGTGTGCCATGCCCGAAACCTACTGCAAACGCATGTGGCTCAACATGAACATATGCTTTAATACCTCACCGACAGTGTATTTGGTTTCACTGCTTTTTCAGGGCGCATGCTTTCCCTGTCGGGAGTAGCGTCATCGGCGAACAGGTAGCAAGGTAAGCACCTAATGATGTCCACTAAACCAGTTTCTATTGCTAAGAATTCTTCAACATTTAGTCCTGCACCATGACTGCGGAATATATATATATATATATATTTTACTAAAAGCCAGGGCAAATCCCTTTTTCCTTAAGAAAACAACAGAAGAGGAATGTTTTTTCGAAGAAAAAAATATATTTTAAAGAAATGTTTTCATTGAATAAGTGCTAGTCTTCACCATTCTGTGTAAGTAAATGAGCGATGTGCATGGAAATGGGGACATTCATTGAAATAGTCCTTCGTGCATAGAAATAACTGGAGAAATATGGTAATATGTGATTGGTAGAGGACCCTATATACAATACAGTAATGCAGGGACCCTTCAGACAGAAGTATCCACCAGATTACTATTATACTGATTCAAACTGTATCAAATTTACATCCTGTTTAACAAGTGCTAATAATATACTCTTACAGAAATTTTCTATGTTTATCTATCAGGATTTACCGCCCTGAAGAAGCACTCCCTTAAAGAAAAAAATTTGATTCACAACTCAGCAGTATATTTACATGCACAAAGATTTCTTTTATGTATATATTATATATTGTAATGCATAGTATAGCTCATATGACATATTTTCCAACAAACCGATCAGATGTCGGTTTAGACAGAGTTCACGTTCTTGTGCTTGTTCCCAGGGTGACGGAGAGTAAAAGCAAGGACTACCCTGTAGGATGCCTGGTCCAGATGTATGCGGGGTGGCGTTCACGTACACTGGTCGACCCTACAAAACCAAAAGACATGGAAGCCATTCGTCTCCTCAAAGTGCCAGATCTTGGAAAACTGGAGCCATCTCTCGCACTGGGAATCCTGGGAATGCCTGGGTAGGTGGTAGGTGGGGTGTAAGTGAGTTAAGTGTGGTGTGAGTGCATTAGGTCTGCTATCATTGATTAATGTGCTGTGTGACGTTTCTTTGTTTGCACACAGCAATATTCCAGCTATATGACGTCGGTCTGTAAATAATCGAATCTGGACCAGACAATCCAGTGATTGACATCATAAGCATCGATCCACGCAATTGGGATACGATGACATGCATTAACCAAGTCAGCGAGCCTGGCCACCAGAACCCGTTAGTTGCCTCTTACGACAATCATAATCGACAATTACGACAAGCATGGGATGCTGAAGACTTATTCTAACCCGGATCTTCACGGGTCTAGTGTGAAGCACTATTTAAAGTGTGTGAGTGTGTGAATCTGCTCATCAATACTCCAGCTTTTTCACAGCTGCCTGTTAAAATAGAGGCTGGATACACTAGTGGTTGACATAATGAGCAACATCGCATGCCAATGAGGTCAATGACGTGCAGTCATTCCGGCGATCTTCTCCACCGATCTGTTTTGTTTGTAGACTTGTAATGATTCCTTTGTAGGTTTCAGTGAATTTGCCGCTTTAAAGTTATTTAGAAAAGGATTTTGATTTACGCGACTGCATCACTTTCAGGATGACAGCCTATTTCGGGTTCCTGGAACTCTGTCAGCCTAAGGCTGGGGAGACTGTGTTGGTCAACGGTGCCGCGGGGGCAGTGGGCAGTGCTGTCGGACAGATCGCCAAGATCAAGGTGAGAACATCACACATATCAAACCACGTGTTGGATTCAACCAGCTCATTTTAATTTGGGACCCGTGATTCAAATTAAGCGCAGATACAGCTTGAACAAGGAAACAGCATCATCCGATCACCCGCCATGGGGCACATTAGAATCCTATAAAGCCTAAAGAAGAGATTGGTGCTGGGGTCGCTTTATGATTAAATGCGAAATGAATACGTACAAATGGCCCCTTATCTGGACAAAATAATTTATGGCACCACTTCTCGATTTCAGTCTTGATAACAATCATTAAGATAAGCTTCGGTTGGTTCTGAGAAAACATGTCCCCATTTCACAAAAAGCATGGAGCAAGGGCCATAACTCTGTAAAAATGAATTTAAGACACCTCTTTTCAAACTCATTAAACATTTTTGACAAGGAGCATCAGTGCATCATATTTCATTTCTCTAACTTAAATAGTTTTGGAGAAAATGTGTCCCCTTTGAGAAGCGGAAAGGGGCGGGGCTAAAAAGGAGCAGTTCACGGTCTATTATCCTAAAATTTGTTGAAAATACAACACTTAAGAAGTTAGTTATATTGTTGTCTATTGTACCCGACAAGCAGAATTTAAGAGTAAACTTGAAATTAACTTTTGTTTATCAGATCGTAAGATTCGAAATCCTTTATTCACATTGACATTTGAAAATACCGTTACTCAGCAGATGGCATTAGAACGAGTACAAAACTGCTTTCGGTGAAAACCAAATATATTATTTATAACACTGTTCCTAGGGGTGCAAGGTGATTGGCTTTGCTGGATCAAAGGAGAAATGTGATTGGGTGAAGAGTCTTGGATTTGATCACGTGTTCAACTACAAGGAAGCAGACATCAGCAAATCCTTGAAAGAGGCGGCCCCTGATGGAATTGACTGCTACTTTGATAATGTACGTACAACGCCCACCCATTGTCACCATACTGTACTCAACGAAGGTATTTGTTTGCCCAGCTTCTTGAAGGTACAACGACTAACATGACTATACTCGTCTGCTTACTTAAGAAACACAATAAGTAGGGGATCAGTTTTGAACACTAATTGGGGAGTAGGAGATCAGAGCTGAACACTAACTTGGCAGTAGGAGACCAGAGCTGAACACTAACTTGGCAGTAGGAAACCAGAGCTGAACACTAACTTGGCAGTAGGAGACCAGAGCTGAACACTAATTGGGCAGTAAAAGACCTGAGCTGAACACTAATTGGGGTGTAGGAGATCAGAGCTGAACACTAACTTGGCAGTAGGATACCTGAGCTGAACACTAATTGGGGAGTAGGAGATCAGAGCTGAACACTAACTTGGCAGTATGAGACCTGAGCTAAACACTAATTGGGGAGTAGGAGACCAGAACTGACCACTAAGTGGGGAGTAGGAGACCAGAGCTGACCACTAATTGGGGAGTAGGAGATCAGATCTGAACACAAATGGGGGAGTAGGACACCGGGGCTGAACACTTATTGGACAGTAGGAGACCAGAGCTGAACACTAATTGGGGAGTAGGAGACCAGGGCTGAACACTAATTGGGGAGTAGGAGACCAGGGCTGAACACTAATTGGGGAGTAGGAGACCAGAGCTGAACACTAATTGGGGAGTAGGAGACCAGAGCTAAGCGCTAACTTGGCAGTAGGAGACCTGAGCTGAACACTAATGTGGGAGTAGGAGACCAGAGCTAAGCGCTAACTTGGCAGTAGGAGACCAGAGCTGACCACTAATGTGGGAGTAGGAGACCAGAGCTAAGCGCTAACTTGGCAGTAGGAGACCAGAGCTGAACACTAATTGGGCAGTATAGGAGACCTGAGCTGAACACTAATTGGGGAGTAGGAGACCAGAACTGAACACTAATGTGGTAGTAGGACACCAGGGCTGAACACTAATTGGGCAGTAGGAGACCAGAGCTGAACACTAATTGGGGAGTAGGAGATCAGAGCTGACCACTAATTGGGCAGTAGGACACCAGGGCTGAACACTAACTTGGCAGTAGGAGACCAGGGCTGAACACTAATTGGGCAGTAGGAGACCAGAGCTGAACACTAATTGGGGAGTAGGAGACCAGAGCTGAACACTAATTGGGCAGTAGGACACCAGGGCTGAACACTAACTTGGCAGTAGGAGACCAGGGCTGAACACTAATTGGGCAGTAGGAGACCAGAGCTGAACACTAATTGGGCAGTAGGAGACCAGAGCTGAACACTAATTGGGGAGTAGGACACCAGGACTGAACACTAATTGGGCAGTAGGAGACCAGGGCTGAACACTAATTGGGCAGTAGGAGACCAGAGCTGAACACTAATTGGGCAGTAGGAGACCAGAGCTGAACACTAATTGGGGAGTAGGACACCAGGACTGAACACTAATTGGGCAGTAGGAGACCAGAGCTGAACACTAACTTGGCAGTAGGACACCAGGGCTGAACACTAATTGGGCAGTAGGAGACCAGAGCTGAACACTAATTGGGGAGTAGGAGACTAGAGCTGAACACTAATTGGGCAGTAGGAGACCAGAGCTGAACACTAATTGGGGAGTAGGAGACCAGAACTGAACACTAACTTGGCAGTAGGACACCGGAGCTGACCACTAATCTGGCAGTAGGAGACCAGAGCTCACCACTAATGTTGGAGTAGGAGACCTGAGCTGAACACTAATGTGGGAGTAGGAGACCAGAGCTGACCACTAATGTGGGAGTAGGAGACCTGAGCTGAACACTAATTGGGCAGTTGGAGAATTGAGATGAACACTAATTGGGCAGTTGGAGATCAGAGCTGAACACTAATTGGGCAGAAGGAGTTGGGCAGAATTCATTAATTGTGTGGGAAAAAACATGGAATAGCAACAACTAGGCAGGGGAAGACCAGGTTGTCAACTAATTGGGCAGAAAAACTGGTTAAACTTGGACACTAATAGGAACAGGAGGAGACGAGTTGTGCAGCGACTAGAGGTCTGACCCGTCATGTGATTGATGTCAGTAGACACACTGCCAGTGGTAGGGACCCGGTTAGTAACTAAAGATGTACAACCATCATATACATTTGCAGGTGGGAGGAGACTTCACGTCTAAAGCACTCCAACACATGAAACTGTTCGGTAGAGTTTCTATTTGTGGTGGTATCTCAATCTACAGTGCCACAAAACCACCACTCAGTAAGTATTTATCGAGTAATACATCTACACAATGCCCTCTACCTATGGAATTTGTTACTCCATGAACTATTCTCTTCCTTTGTCAAATGATAAATATATGCACCTGGAGATATGTGTATAGCCATGTATATGTAGCTCATGGGTATGCATACTGTTTGTAAGTTTTTACTTCATATGTACATATATGTAAACATGACTTAGTCTATCTACCCCTCCTCTGTAAAATGTGCCACATTATTGTATTTCCATAGACATCAGACAACAGAAAATATCTTATTATACTTAATGAATCTACACAATATAAATGCTTCGTAGTTATACTATGTTTGGATCATGTTTATTTATTGTATAGGAAATAGATTAATTTATCTATAATTCAAGATGGCATATATACGATCACTATATGCGTCGACATATCATACTAGTCAGCATCGAACAGTTTTCTAGACATATCTTTGTCGTTTGTCTTATTTATTTATTTGTTTGTTTGTTTATTTTTTTATTTTCTATACAGATTCAGTGTTGTACCTGCATGCATTTGTTTAGTGTTAAAAATAATTCATACAATATAGAGTGTGTCGTATTTCAACAACATAGTTCATAAAGTTGACCTATGGTAAATAGTAAATTTTTAACAAGTCTCCTATTTTTGCTGATACCTCAATGTGTGTATTGTGTCTGTTCCAGCTCCAGATCCGTTCATGACGATCTTATCCAAACAACTTAAAGTGGAAGGTTTCATCGTGTATCGGTGGTGGGCAAGATTCTTGGAGGGTAAAGCTGAAATGAAGAAATGGATAGACGAAGTAAGTCCCTGACAGCTGGAGTAACGACTCAACAAGCTGAAAACTCAAAGTACAATTCCATTCACTTAACAATTGTCCCTGTGCTAAAAAACGCCTACTCTAGAGTAACGCCTCACCCACAAAGGAACGGACTCGTATAATTGTACAGAAATATTTCATCCGATACTAGGGATTAGCATTTTAGGTGGTGGAATATATCTTATATAATATATTATATAGCGACGTGCATGCATGTGTGTACCGAGTTTATACATCGTCCCGAGGCAAGGGAGTTAACTTGCTGTAAAAGTCCAGTTTCCACCCTTGCCGAACTAGGCTGAAATTTCGTGGTTCGATCGTAGCGTCACCACTGGCGATTACAGGTTATGTCCCTTCTATGTCCCTCTCATTGACCAATCAGATTCCACCTCTTTTACATCACTTGCATATGATTCAAACAAAGTGGCTGCGCCAAGTCAAGGCAATCTGGTCAACAATCGAGATTTTTGTTGTTGTAATAAAATGAGTCTCACCTCGCGAAGTGCATCAAATCACTTGAGCACCTTGATTAAAAACATGAAACCACCTGTCGACGCCCATTTGATGGAACACATGCTCTGCAGTCGCCATGTTGTTTATAAACCGGATGTCGATTTCGCTCCGCGATTTTGATTGGACAATGTATAGACTCGTTAGTCCAGCCAAAATATAACTCCATAATTACAGCCTATTTCGGCAAGGGAGAAAACTGGGTTTGTATAGTCAGTTAACTCCCTTGCCTCGGGCAGATGAGTTTATTGTGCTAGCCCATTGAGATACATGTACCAGGACGCAGTTTAACATGCATACCCCACTCAGACACAATATACTGTCTCCGAAACGACCAGTCCTTGTTTTAGCCCCTTAATGCCGAGGGTAAGGCAGGGTCACAACGAGCACGATTTTTTTAACGTCTCTTGGTCTGACGCGGCCGAGGATCGAACCCTAGACTTTTCGCTCCCCGGGCAGATGCTCTTCCCACTGGACCAAGGAGGCGAACGATTAGCAATTTAACTAACAGAGGTAATAAGATCAACAAAAGGTGAAGCGTTTTCACTTTAAGATAATGTTTTATATACAGGCGCAAGTGGTTTTTAGTTACCGCCTGAAAGGGAACTAAGCCCGAGATAATTAAACAGTTTAGGTAAATAAGCAATAACAATACAACGGCATGGTCTCTCAATCTAGACCTCGTCACAGCAATAAATTTACCTATATTCAAACAATACGTGGTTGTAGGTAATGGTTAGTGAGTATAAGATGACTTGCGTTATGTCAAAGACGGTTCTCTCGAAGTAGATGTTTAAGGTGACAAGTAAGCTATCATAGCTCCGTTTATCTCGAAGGTCCAGCTACAGTGAAAGTTCATATCGCCACTTGCTTCAGGGATTATAGTTTTGTTCCACACGACCGATTTTTCGTTGCACCCGACTTCATTATATTCGTTGTTACTGTAATAAATTATTACTCTAATTTATTGTGTGTTGTTTAACGCCGCACCCAGCAATATTCCAGCTAGCTGACGGCGGTCTGTAAATAACCGAGACCAGACAATCCACTGATTGAAATCATGAGCATCGATCCACGTAATTGGATACGATGACATGCATCAACTAAGTCAGCAAGCCTGACCAGCCGATCCCTCTAGACGCCTCTTACGACAAGTATGGGTTGCTGAAGATCAGTTCTAACCAGGATATTCACAGGTCTATCAATGATACTCAATAAAAAAAAAAGGCTCAAGGAGATCTCTAATCACTTTAACAGAGCTTATTTCCACATTATTATAAAATATATTATTTTACGTGTCCATCACTATCGTCTCTCGTAAGCAGGACAGCGATGCCCTTCAACGCAGCACACCTTCTCTTATGACTTATTTACATTGTATTCTATTCCAGGGCAAGATCAAGTACAGAGAGACGGTCAAAGATGGTTTCGAGAACATGCCCCAGATCTTCATGTCTTTGTTGAAAGGAGCCAACATCGGGAAGATGATCGTTAAAGCCTAGACCAGCCATTTGATAACTGAGTGTTGGCATTTCATTCCGCTTCAATTCATGCTTATGTATACATAGTATTTGCATTTAATGTGAAACTACGTTATAGTGACGCCGTGGCTAAATCCATTGTTGTGATAATGTAGGTGTGCGGTGCATATATATTGAGATTTGTAACTCAAGAGACATATATAAGATCAACAATCCATACACTGTGAGATTTATAAATATATATCAGGACATAGGACGAATCCTTGTTTTCGTCGTTTATTGTTGATAAAAAGAGGTATCTGTAACAAACAATTCTTACTGAGGTTTTGATATAGAATGTGATAGCTGTGTGTGCTTTTCTCTAATTTATTCACGTATTCTAGTAGTTCAATAATATTCACGCCGAAGGCCCTTGTTCGATTCCATGAATGGGTACAGTGTGTTCTGGGCCCACTTGCACAAAGCGATCTTAGCTCTAAGACTATTGTAAGCCTATGTTAAAGTATGGGAGTTACAATCATCTTAGCGCTAAGATCGCTTTGTGCAAGTGGACCCAGGTGTCCCCCGCCGTGGTACAAGCGGCGTAAGACCTCACTTACACGATCTTAGGAAATCCGAAATAATTTAATTGTGAAATATATTTCAATATATTTGTTCCCATTGTGGCCATTAAAAACGTCTTGTATGTAAATATAAGCGACAAAGCCCTTTCCAAAGTCATAAAGCAGAGTCGATTGTACGATTCCGACTATATCATGAGCACGTGTTTATGAATCACTATCATACAGTAAAGCACTGTACACGGTCTACCAAAGAGCACGTGCTCTACCCATATCAGTTTGTTCGTTCGGGTTGTTCATTCCTTGTGAGATTTGAATGCCACAAAGACGTCAGCGTTTGACCCCATTAACAGATTGTTCTGTGCTCGTTCCATTACATTGTTTAATGAAATAATTCGTTTTCATATTTGTTGCTGTTAGTTGTGTGTGTGTGCATGGCAAGTTCATTCTTCATGAAACCTGTATACAACTCTGAGTCACGTATTGTCATAAGCAACACATCATGCGCATTGCTGACTTGAATAATCTAGCGCATTTAATCAGTCGTTGTTTAGCGGCAACTAACGAATTCAAAACATGCGACTCAAGAAATGTATCCCTATTCTACACACGTCAGCTTGCACGCGAGGGACGAGCGGCCCAGTCTTCTAAGGCGCCGCAATTTACCTTTGTCGTGTCATGATCCGCTGATTGTGGGTTCGAATCCAAGGCTCGTCCTAACTATGAACAATGGTTTGTCAGCATCCTGCCCGTGCTTGTAAGTTTCACAACAGTGTTCTTGTATTTGTTGCGGTCTAGACTTTACTGGTAATACTAATAGCTTAGATGAAGCCCTACTTCCAGGTGTAAAGAAGTACAGTGAAAGACGAATCTACGGCCATTTTAGTGAAACGGCCGCCATATTTGATTTTGGATGGTGACATTTTTTTTCATTTAAAGGCGAACGACAATGTACATTGTTTTGCTTCCATCATCGTCTCATCAGATACACCATATTTATTCCAGCTGAATGAGTGGTAAATAGACACTACGTACGTTGAATGATCTACTGTAATTCTGCCTGGTCTGCAATTTGACACGCTTATCAGTACGAGTGTTTCTATGCATGTGAAGTAGTCATATGATAATAAAATGGTTATCTGATATCAGTATTTGGAGCAACATGATGGCGTCATTATAGTTGATCACCCAGGTGTTCACATGCAAAACTATGACAGGCGATCGTAAACCATCAAGCTCCACAACAAACTACCTAAAGGATACAAAGCAACAGAAAATCCGATATTTGTTGGTACAGACAGATTTGATAAAATAGTTTTTTTCTGAAGTGTTTTGCGTGTATATTACTATTGGGGGTTCGGGAGGGTGTCCTGCTGTTCTACACCATGGTAAGGAGATGATTGGGAGATAAACATTAGTTCCCTTCAGATTTGAGAATTCGCTGGCCGGACATTTTAATTTGGAACCTAACAATCATTTTCAAATGTTTAAATTTCCTCGAAACCCCATGACAACCGCAAATCCCGTTTCGAAACAGGTACGAAAATCATTGGTGGCCTTCCTTAGTGATATGCTATTTGTTTGCTTCTTATTTTACGGGGGCGGTCGGGTAGCCTAGTGGTTAAAGCGTTCGCTCGTCACGCCGAAGACCCGGGTTCGGTTCCTGACATGGGTACAATGTGTGAAGCCCATTTCTGGTGTCCCCCGCCGTGATATTGCTGGAATATTGCTAAAATCGGCGTAAAACCCGATAGAAAGTAGAACCCTGGTCTTCGGCGTGACGAGCGAACGCTTTAACCACTAGGCTACCCGACCGCCCCCGTAAAATAAGAAGCAAACAAAGAAGCCCCCTTTAATACACGAATACGAAACGTGAATTGACAAATCACAAACGGTCCCATTCCTTTTGTAGACAGCTGTATCAGTGCTTGTTGGTGGTGGAGGTGGAACGGAGGTTAACGTCGTGTTCAGGTTGTTGCACTGATATAGCAACGTGTGTGTGTGTGTGTGTGTGTGTGTGTGTGTGTGTGTGTGTGTGTGTGTGTGTGTGTGTGTGTGTGTGCCTACATGCGTGTGTGTGTGTGTGTGCCTACATGCGTGTGTGTGTCTGCTTATACGAGGTCCGAGCTTATGCCGGTGATTTCACACTTTAACATGGATACCCCACTCGACACAGTAAACTTACTCCGAATCCTTGTTTTATCCCCTGAGTGTCTAGCGCCAGGCAGGGTAACAACAAGTACAATCTTTTACCGACTTGTTATGACGCAGCTGGGGATCGAACCACCGAAATCCGCCCTCCGGGCAGACGCTCTACCAGGCGCCCCTGCGCTTGCAATCAACTTTTTCACCGAATCTAACCACCGATCCAAATGATAAAGCAATAGAGTGCTGGGGACCTGTTCCAACCCGGGTCCCCACGAGGAAACAGCGATGCGGTAGTGCATACTCGCCAATCGTTCAGGCCAATAGTACAGCCTCACATTATAACCACCCGTACCTCTTTAAACGGCACGCAAAACAAGCATGGGTAAACAGAATGTACCCGAACAGATGTTTAAAATATATGTTGGTTGGTTTGGTCGGTTTGTTGTTCAAGGCCGCACTCAGCAATATTTCAGCAATATGACGGCGGTCTGAAAATAATCGAGTCTGGACCAGACAATCCAGTGATTAATATCATGAGCATCGATCCACGCAATTGGGATCGATGACATGCATCAACCAAGTCAGCGAGCCTGACCACCCGATCCCGTTAGTCGCCTTTTACGACAAGCATAGTCACCTTTTACGGCAAGCATGGGTTGCTAAAGACCTATTCTACCCCGGAATCCTCACGGGTCTTAAAATATATGTGTGAGCTCCAATACCTATATGCTAATTATCGAAAACGACCTCGTTATCAGAACAGAACATAATTTTACTCGATATACTTTTACATTTGATTATTGTGAAGTACGCTTGGCACAGCAAATTGTGAAACATATCCTTCGGTTTTAGTAAAATATTTGCCATATAATGGCATTATGCTATAATGACATTATTGGCAGTAACATATATAATCCCCACTGTCAAATACTGACTTAATTTCACCCACATTTCACCCTTACCCGCGCCTATATTGGCATTATTACATTATAGCTAAACCAGTCTAAACTTTCACAATTATTTTCCCTGCGACCTTCCCCTTCAATGCAGTCAGGAAAGCCTTTGGCATCTTTTCAAACCCTTCTTGAACCTCTTCTTTGTACTTGACCTTGTCTAAAAGGCGGATTATATCAAAACTCGTTCAAAATTGGGAGTTTGGAGACAGGAAATCAATTCTCTTCGCGGCATGTAGTCTCATTGCACATACATGTTCGCAAAACCGATTCTTTCGGCAAGCTATGCAAGTGATATAAGGTAAGGTTGGTTGGTTGGTTTGTTGTTTAACACCGCACTCAGCAATATTCCAGCTATATGACGGCGGTCTGTAAAATAATCTAGTTTGGACCAGACAATCCAGTGATTGGCATCATGAGCATCGATCCACGCAATTGGGATCGATGACATGTATCAACCAAGTCAGCGAGCCTGACCACCCGATCCCGTTAGTCGCCTTTTACGACAAGCATAGTCGCCTTTTACGGCAAGTATGGGTTGCTGAAGACCTATTCTACCCCGGAATCTTCACGGGTCTATATAAGGTAAGGGAACAGACAGGTGATTCAATGTAACACACAACCACGAGCCGTATGCTAACATACATGAAAAGAAGTCATGAAAATTGACCCATGGCTGCATTCCTGCAATTTTCACTGGTCTATGACTCCAATGTACAAAAAGTAGTCCATGACTGCAATGTAGAAAAAAGGGGGATCCTGAATGGTCAAGTCTTTGAAAGGCATTTAGAAGTGATACACATAAGGAAGAGAATTTATGGAAGTCAACGAAACACAAAGTTTCCGAGTATATACTTACTCCTTCATCAGGTGAATGTATAATAATGTGATACACGACTACAATGTATGATAATGTGGTACATGCCTGCAATGTATAATTATGTGAACAAGACTGCAATGTATAATTATGTGAACAAGACTCAAATGTATGATAATGTGAACAAGACTCGAATGTATGCTAATGTGAACAAGACTCAAATGTATAATTATGTGAACAAGACTCCAATGTATAATTATGTGAACAAGACTCCAATGTATAATTATAGGAACAAGACTCCAATGTATAATTAAGTGAACAAGACTCCAATGTATAATTATGTGAACAAGACTCCAATGTATAATTATATGAACAAGACTCAATGTATAATTATGTGAACAAGACTCAAATGTATAATTATGTGAACAATACTCAAATGTATGATAATGTGAACAAGACTCCAATGTATAATTATGTGAACAAGACTCAAATGTATAATTATGTGAACAAGACTCAAATGTATGATAATGTTATTCAACGTAAAAGTGGAGTGCTGCAATGGTCAGCTGCAAGTTTGTATGTCCTGAAGCAGTGATCGAAACAATACGCTCTGACAAGACTCCCAGAATATAAAATAATATGGAACAGAAGGCTTTCTGATTGCTGCTCAAGACCAGCCACTTCCCACTCGAAACCGTGAATGTGTGATTTTGCATCAAAATGTAAATATAAAAAATAGCTTATGCAATGAATATAATGAGACTGTCAATCACATTGTCAGTGGATGCCCAGCTGTCGTACAACACAGTTTCTAAAGCGACATGATGGAGTGGCTCGATCATGCTTGAGGTTGTACGTCCCGAAATATGTAGAGGTCGTCTTGGAAAATGATAAATGCAAAATTCTTTGGAATAGGCCCGTATACAGCCTTATCCAGGCCAACAAACCTGATCTTGTCCTTTTTGATAAATCCAATGAAATCATTTCTATCATCCCTTTTGACACTAATGTGATTGACAAGATTCAGGAAAAACATGGCAAAAATGCAGACCTCGCTTTTGAAATGGCACGCTTGCATCCCAAGTACCAAGTTGTCCGACTCCCCAAGGTCTCGGTGCCTTAGGTTTGGTACCTCCCAATTTGTTGACTGGCATTGGGAGAGTACCCGGGTCTGCTACCAGGAATACAGCCCTTCTGACAATCTGGGTAATGCAGAAGGCTGCAGTGTTGGGGAGTCTTCACATTCTTCCAAAAGTTCTGGATGGGTTTGAGTAGGCAGCGCTTCCTGGGAGAAGTCTTATTCGCTGTCTGGGCTGCGTGTAGAGGGGGCAAGGGCCCTGAGCTGATGATGAGATTACCAGCCTGACTGTGCCAGGATCACCCAAACCCTCTTTGCTGCATTAATTTATTTTAATCTATAAATGATAATAATAATAACAACAATAATAATGATAATAATAATAATGGTCTCCACGATTACCTCATTCATCCACTTGAAGATCTGAGTTCTGCTCTCCTCGAATCGGGCGTCACAGCTCGAAACTGAAAATCCCTGTATTTTCAGTCTCTTGTACAGACAGGCGTGGAATGGCGACGGCACTGCAATACAAATAATAAATCACAACCGCTACATTACATTTGCGGAATAGCGACACAGAGATATAAAAATGTGTTTAACTTACATGGTTTTGGGGTTGTTGTTTTTTACGCCGCATTTAGTACTATTCCAGCTAAATGACGGTTATAACTTGGTGTTAAAGTTGGGTGTTAAACAACAAACAAATTAATAATACCTTGTGGTTTGACTTCGGCTTTGAAAAAAGCAATGTCGAATTTCACTTTGAAACAGGAAGTTCCATGCCTAAACACATCCTGGTAAATTCCTCAAGAAGATATTGTGTTTCCATGCATCTATAATTATATATTAATTTGATGTGTAATAAGGTAATTTGTTTGGGGTGATATTTTTACAGGATACTTGTGGTACGTTGTTGTGTCGATGTATACATCTTCTAAATGCACTCGACCCGTGAAGATCCAGGTAGAGGAAAGAGAACTGGGTCTTCAGCAACCCCTGCTTGCCGTAAAAGGCGACTATGTTTGTCGTAAGAGGCGACGAACGGGATCGGGTGGTCAGGCTCGCTGACTTGGTTGATCATCGTATGTCATCGTATCCCAATTGCTCGGATCGATGCTCATGATGGCAATCACTGGATTGTCTGGTCCAGACTCGATTATTTACATACCTCTGTCATATAGCTGGAATAATGCTGAGTACGGCGTCGAACAACAAACAAACATGCAAACAAACAAATCTAAACGCACTCAGAGGCTGTTTGTCACCGTAGTTGTAGGAGGACATTGCGCCACTCACGCAGACGCGTCCTAGGTCGTTCATGTGCTGCAGCACGCGGCAGGAGACTTCGCCGCCGACCTGGAAACATACATGAATATTTTAAGTGATCATTCAAACATCATCTTCAGTTCGCTTTTATTATAGACAGGCAGTAGTGTAAAGGCCCGTCTGGAAATTATATTGGTTATATTTTTATATGTGTTGTATAACGCCGCACACAGTAATCCAACAGACCCGTGAAGATCCGGGGTAGAACAGGTCTAAAAGGCGACTATGCATGTCGTAAGAGGCGACTAACGGGATCGGGTGGTCAGACTCGCTGACTTGGTTGATGCGTGTCATCGATCCCAACTTCGTGGATCGATGCTCATGATGTCAATCACTGGATTGTCTGGTCCAAGCTCGATTTTTTGGTTAAAACACGACCCATGAAGCCACCCGCATAGGTTGTTGGGGACCAATCCTGGTTGTAACTTTTTAACAGTTTTAAATGTACAAGAAATTGATTTGGAATAACTTCCCACAGAGATACTGTTATGTGCTAGAGAGCATGCATATGGAATATGAATTGGCTGTTACACACGCTGTCAAAGAAACAGTCGACACCATTTGGAGCAGCGGATGTGAGTGCATCGTCCAGATTCACTTCCTTATAGTTGAACACGTGATCAAATCCAAGACTCTTCAACCAATCACACTTCTCCTTCGATCCGCCAAACCCAATCACCTTGCAGCCCTGTGATATAGTAACAACAATGCTTTAAAAAAACTTTTTGGCTTCCAAGTGGTATGTAACTCCTTGACAAAGACATGTGATGCATGGCTGACTCCAAATAGAAGCGTTTATATTATTAACACAAGCGAGTGAGTGAATTCCTTAATGCCGCCTTGAAAAGCATTTAAGTAATACCATATTGCAGTAGGGGCATGTCAGCTTGATGTCAGGGGAAACTTCAAAGTGATGCAGATTTATGACGTTTTCCATTCGGGGATGACACCCAAAGGCACGGCTAATTTGGGACTTGGTATGGGTCGCAACTTACAGACTGGGGAGCCAAAGACGACTGATCATGTTGGGAGTATTAGAGTCCAGTTTCCACCATTGCCGACCTAGGCTGGATTTTCGGAATTATATTTTGGCTGGACTAACGAGTCTATGAATAGCCCACTCAAAATCGCGTAACGAAATCGATATCCGGGTTGAAAACTGATGTGCTGATTTCGTTCGAATGCAGGATTTGCAAAGCATGTGTACCGTCAACTGTGCATCTACAAATATTTTCCAAATCTTTTCATCTTTTAAATCAAGGTGCTCAAGTGAGTTGATGCACTTCGCGAGTTGAGACCAGTTTTATTACAATATAGATTTTGATTATCGATCAGATAGTCTTGACTGGGCGCCGCCATTTTGTGTGAGGCAAGTGCAAGTTACACGAGAAATGAAATATGATTGGTCAAAACGAGGGACGTAGAAAGGACATAGCTCATAATAGCCACTGGTGACGCTCCGATTGAGCAACGGAATTCCATCGCAGTTCGGCAAGGCTGGAAACTGGACTTTTATAGTCAGTTAACTCCCCTGCCTCGGGAAGATGGACCATGATTGAGCCATGACTGTCATGAGAATATAATACCTTATGTTTCTTCTTATTAATAATTAGTCTCTTTTGCAGAACCAATAATGTACATTTGTTTTCAGCGTCAATGATATAAACACTAAATCATATCGTGTTAGACAATAATGTAATTCCTAGTTTAGTGGCCTTCCTACCTTGATCTTGGCGATCTGTCCAACCACACTGCCCACTGCCCCTGCTGCCCCGCTGACCAGCACCGTGTCCCCAGCTTTGGGCTCACACACCTCCAGGAGACCCCGATAGGCAGTCACTCTGAAACAATGGCATCCGGACGATTATGATTCCCAATGATACGAAACAGTACGTGAGTAACTGTATCTAATTTATCTGAATACATATTTTGAGGAACGGACGTCCTTGTGAGCTGAGGAGAGTTTCGTCCCTTAGCCGCGTACGGATTCACTGGTCTCGAGTTCTTATCCAACTTTAGCACGAATTATTACCCTTGGTCTGTCAGCCAGAAACGTCACTACATCACTTGAAACGATGTAACGACATGTTATGACATCACTGCAGCATAGTTGGTGCCCAAGTCGTCTAAGGCGCCGCAATTCGCTGTACAGAGTTGCGTCCCTTAGGCATGCCAGGAACCTATGATCGTGGGTTCGAATCCCTATTTCTAGGTTTGTCAGCACCATACCCGTGGTCGTGGGTTTCACCAAAGTGGTAAACTTCTGAGACCTGCAACACTTCGGACTTTCCTCCCTCATTAAGTTAGCACGCCGTGATATAACTGGACTAATGTTCAATGCGGCGTTAACCCAAACTCATTCACTCACTCACTCACTCACTCATAGCGTCTGAGACCACAAATCGATCTATGGGCTACGACTGTCGTAAGTCTACATTAGAGAATGGGGCCCGGAACATGACAACCTACATGAAGGCGGCGGCATCAAGGTGAATATAAAACATGAAAGAAAAGGCTCGGATTCTAACGTTAAAACAGACATTTCCTTCGCTCTTACCCTGGTATCCCCATGACTCCAAGAGCCAGAGAAGGTTCTTTTCCAGCGAGGTTGGGCACTTTTAGAAGCTTGAGAGCCTCGGGGTTTTCTTTAGGGTTTATCAACGACCTGCTCCGCCACCCACTGTAACACTGGATCAACGTCCCAACAGGGTACTCGCTGTTCTTGGTGTCTGTCACTCTGAAGGTTGGACAAACAGAGGCTTCAAGACACAGAACACAATTTGTAAATGGTTTCAGAACTGTGCCTTCGTGACCAACTCGTGTTATTCCGGGACAAGCCGAATTGCAGGTTACGGAAAGGGGCGAGTGGTGACGAATGAGAATTGTGGTGATTATTGTAAAATATATCATTTGTTTTACGCAAACAAGCAAACAGATAAAACCGGCCTTAGAACAAAGGGAAGTGATTCTAGATAACAGTTAATGTCAGTTACAAAGTCAGATATTTCTGTCAAGCACTTTAAGAGCATTTATGACGTACGATTGTACAAACTGACGTTAACTTTGTTAAACATCCACTTGTGCAAGACTGAATTCTCATTTTCCTTTCAAGAAAGTTATATCAGCTCGTACGAGGTGGGTGAGGGGAAATGGGTTTATCGTCGAGTCCAAGATTATTGCACTTATATAGCGACGTGCATGTACGTGTGTGTGTGACTGCTTGTACTCGTCCGGACTGATGCCGATTTATAGTGCTAGCTCAGTGAGATACCATGCCGCAGTTTAACATGAATACCCCATTCAGACACAGTATACTGACTCGGAGCCGACCTGTCCTTGGTTCCGCCCCTTATAGCCGAGCGCTAGACAGGGTAAAAACAAGTACAATCTGTTAACGTCTTTTGGTATGACGCGGCTGGGGATCGAACCCCGGACCTTCCGCTTTCCGGGCGGACGCTCTACCTCTAGACCACGGAGGCGGTCTCAACTCGGACAATACCTACAGTAATAAATGATAGCTTGTTGTGTATCGGGATATCAACGTGAGGTTTAAGTTTTGTATTTACCGTGATACTTGATGCCCCATCAGTGCTGATCCAAGAGGAGCTTTATCGGAGCTGCTACTGGAGATAAAGGAAACCAGTACCATTACATTCAAGTAGAAGATAAACTTGAAGGGTAATATCATATCCAATTTTGATTCAGCTGGGACATGATAACGATAATCAACGTTTCAACATACTACTTACATATTTCATAGTTCGGTTAATATTGTAAGGTAATGTAAAATTTAATAAATATTCAACAGCAATACGAATATATGAATCATATATAAACCGAATTCAGCTCGCGATTAATATTGAAATATGTACCATCAATAAATTTACAACAAACAAAAGTACATTTCATTTTAGTCCGATTAAAGGGAAGCAACCATTCGTCCTTTAACTAAGGGTGACGTCATAAAGCTTTGTGGGTCTTATACTGCACTTGAAAGTAAACAAAAAAGCCATTGTCACTTTTTCATCTCTCAGGTTCTCAGCATGAGTAGTGAGTGAGTGAGGGAGGGAGTTTGGTTTAACACCACTTTTAACATTATTCCAGTTATATCACGGCGTGTCAGCTTAATGTGGGAGGAAGCCCGAGGTGATGCAGGTCTTAGACGTTTACCACTTCGGTGAAACCGTCGACCACGGGTATGGTGCTGGCAAACCCAGAAATATAATCGGGTCGAACCGGGATTCGAACCCACAACCATTCTGCACAGCGAATCGCGGCGCCTCAGACGACTGGGCAACCCGTACCCCCTCAGCATGAGTAACAGTTACTAACATGTCCACGACATGGAATGGCAATTGAATCAAATTAACACATCCATGTGTGTAGTCAGGACAAATGTTACACCCTTACCTTTCGTATGGACTAACACTTAGATACAGGGCCTCGCACACAAACTCTGAAACACAAATGTCACAGGTTTATATCCTTGTTTTATATACACTGAAAGGCAAAAGAAACTGAATACTGATAAAACTTAACAGACACTGGCAGTTACATGTTCTGTGGTCAATAAACTCATTTATCGTTCTACTGCTTCTTTTTGTTGCCTTAAAGTCCATTTAACAATTGAGTTTAAAATGGAGTGCTTTGCCCAAACGCAGCCTACAAAAGTGCAATGGGACTCAGTTGCGGAAAAGTCTTGTCAAAAACATGATGCACGTGCATACCGTGGATGGTATGGGCATAAAAGACACCCAAAACTGTTCAGCTGCCTTTCGTTATTTCGATTCTAATCTTTATTTCACATACTGAAGTGGCCACAGGCCTATAGTACAATTTGAAGAATATACAGTTTTATACAATTTATGCACATATCTCACCAGATCACCTCACGTCATTCCACCTCGCATTTCAACGCAGTCACATAATTTCACACATTCAGTACAATACCATACCCTGCCATTTCATAATTTCTATATTACCATATCACAACTTGTTATATCATACAACATATTCTATAACATCATATCATATTGTATCATTATTTATAAGATCATACTATATAGTATTTTTTCATATAACATTATCATAACATACTATACATACCATCGTACCATATATCACAACTATATTGTATCACATTTCAACATGTCATATCACACAACACATTAGCAATGTCATAGCTTGTCCCATCATATCTTATTTTCGTTATTTCGATTCATCAGCCATGCCAAGACTATCAGGAAATGAGAGACAACAAGCGATCGGAAGACTGCAAACAGGCCAGAGTGCACAGGTCGTTGCAAATGCATTCAATGTCAACGTCAGAACGATATATCGTTTGCAACATCGCCACAACATCACCAACACCACCGACGACCGACCGCGTAGTGGTCGTCCTAGAGTCACTACTCCCAGACAAAATCGATTCATGATACGTCAACATCTGCAGAACCGATTCCGAATGGCCACTGAAACAGCTCGGCAAACCATTGGCAACCACCAGCGTGCCATCAGTGATCGTACAGTCCGACGTCGCTCACTGCCAAAAACATCTCGTGCCACCGTCATGCTCGTGTACTCATCCTGAGAGATCGTCACCGACAGGCCCGACTGCAATGGGCCAGGCAGCATCAAAATTGGCGTCAACAGCAATGGAGAAGAATCATCTTCAATGATGAAAGTCGCTACTATGTTTCAACGGTGGATGGCAGAGTCAGGGTCTGGCGAAGGAGGGGCGAACGTTATGCTGATCCATGTGTTATGGAACGAGACCCGTGGGGCGGCCCAAGCATCATGGTTTGGGGTGGAATCGGACTGAACCAAAGAGTGGGGCCTGGGGTAATGGCATCACAGCTCTCCATTGACCAAGTCCTCAGACCCCATATCGTGCCTTTTTTTTGTCCGTCATCAAAACCACACCTTTCAGCAAGACAACGCCCGTCCCCACACAGCAAGAGTAACCAGGGACTTCCTCCGGCAGCACAACATCCAAATCATGCCTTGGCCTGCCCTCAGTCCGGATTTAAATCCCATTGAACGCTTGTGGGATGAGATCCAACGCCGACTCAACGACGTGCGTCCAAGGCCGACAACTGCAGCAGAACTGCGTGTGGCGTTCCTGAGAATATGGGCCCAATGGCCTTCACTAACAGGCTAGTCCACTCCATGTACAGGAGATGTGTGGCTGTAGTCAACGCCCGTGGTGGCCACACCAGGTACTGATTTTGAACCCCCCAGCTGTGATGTCTTCTGGTGCCTCCCCAAAATCACAATTCGCAAAAACATTCGCCAGACTGTTAATATCACGTGGGTCAAACACTGACTTTCTCCGATGTCTTTACTTACATATTTAAAAAAAGCATTAGAAAGTAAACACATTTATATGATACATCCACATGATGTTTCTTTTGCCTTTCAGTGTATCTCGTCCAATGAGAAACGTGGACGTATGACTCTCCAAGACGTATTATAAGATGAACGAAAGCAATTTACAAATGTATCAAAAAATGAACAGTCCACCAACATTATTCAGTATGACGTTGACGTATGCGGCGACCCGACTCGTCCAAAAGGCGTCCTGTCGGTTTCGAATTGGTGATTAGAGGAGCACAGGAGGACCTGTAGATTCTGATGGAATGCTGCTAGGATTTCCTCGCGATAGTATTTAGCTGTTGAAATGTTTCACACTTGCAACAGTGTTGGAGATTACTTTCCACCTCATTTCGCTGCCACCGCCAAATATGTTAATTATTAATCTTGGCGCGTCGTTGAGCCCAACAGTTTTCCATCGATTTCGGCGGCAATTACATTAAGAATAAGTACGTGCATCAAGAGTCCTAGCCTTTCCTACCTCCCTGCTTCGGCGACGGCACCTCTTCCTCGATGAGGCGAAAGTTGGATTCCGTTGGTTCCCCATCGAACAATTTCGCGATCACCCATGTCTTTGCCTTCATCATGGTCGTGTTTGTCTTTATCAGGGGTAGATCTGCTGTGTTACCTTGGGCTGCACAACGTCCGGAGCTTTTATACCAACTATTTCGCTTGCCTCAGCAAAATTCATCTTTTTGTTTCAAACGTGATAATGTCGGTTGTTTTTCAGCACAATTATGCTGCCATCTGGTGTGAATGTTAAAACACTGACGTGGTTGAATATACTGATGAGTACTGGACCATATATATACGATACGTGTTACAATCGAGTCCAGAAATTCCAACCTAGTTAGGGAAGGTTGGAAACTGGACTTTTACAGTCAGTTAACCTCGTGAATATGTAGAAACCCATGCCTTGGGGATATTCATTATCCCTGTCACGTGAAAATCGTACAGTCAAAATTGAATTATGAATTCAGGAATCTTTGTCAACTTAATATGTCACCAGGTGTTACGGAAGTGCCCTATCAGTAATACCCGTTGTGTAGAAAGGTCAAATGCATATTACATTCCTGATTCTAACACCGTCCAATTCCAGAACATAGTTTGTAATTAGAAGTAGAACCAAAAGGCTTGCCAGAAAAGGCGATCATCCTTGTCGGGATCGGGCGGTCAGGCTCGCTGACTTGGTTGATGCATGTCATCGTATCCCAATTGCGAGGATCGATGCTCATGATGTCAATCACCCGATTGTCAGGTCCAAACAAACAAACAAAACAACACATCTTCAAAGTAGGTCAAGGTTCTACGTTTAATTGAAAGATACAACCTTCGGGCGTCGACAGCTAAATTAAGCGTGAAAGTGAGCGTTTTACTTATTGGTGTGAATTCAAAAGGAAGCAAATAACTGCAATAATAGCGTTGCAGTTAATTGATCCTCTACATGATTATCTGGTCTAGACTCGATTATTTACGGACAACCGTCTTATAGCTGCAATATTGATGAGTGCGGTATAAAATAACACACCAACAAACCAACCAAAGATCCTTTACTTCGAAATACAAATGATTAATGAATATACAAATACTCCATATAGATTATGTTTAATTCATGTGACACAATGTGGTTATGCAATATATGACCAGTGAAAAACATAACCAAATACCCATATGATGAAAGTGCAGACTTGGCAATATCCCTACATAATGCACTAGTTTAACATATTGTCACGTATGCGTGTTGTCAGCACGGAAACCAATCTGGATCCAGGTATACACACATAAATTGAATATTCAACGAGAGAGTGATTTGGGTTTAACGCCGCTTTGAACAGTATTCCATGTATATCACGGGAGGATATGCGGTAGGAAAGCCCTAAAGTGATGCAGGTCTCAGACGTTTACCACTTTGGTGGAACCCACGAGCACGGTATGGTGCTGACAAACCTAGAAACATAATCGGGGCGAACCGGGATTCGAACCCACAATCATAGGTTTCTGGGGTGCCCTTAAAACGCAACTCTACACAGCGCATTGCGGCGCCTGGGGCCAACGGTGACCCCAGTGTCTGAATCTGATAGAAATATTGTCAATATGGAGGTACTGGGGTGAAATGTGACATAGACAATGCGAAATAGACATTTAATATCGAGTCCTGTGCGAAGGGATCAGGTTTTAAACAAAAGGGAAATCTGATCATAATTTAAACCTAAAGATTCGTCGGACAATATTGCGGAAAATGATTAGTTAACTTTGTAACGTCACATAGTTGAGTCATGTAGCGACGGAAACATATAATGCATTCGGAAATTCAAGTGCAGTATTATACATGCAAGTATCACATATTCAAGACATACGTAAAACATTCCTAAGCAAATTTATTAACTATTATAAAGAAACATGATAAAAACACGTAACTGGAATACATATTCCTTGTATTTGTTGTAAAATCAAATGCTCGCTTACACGAGAAAACAGTTCTGCCTTAACATAAGAATTGCGATTGCAATGTTCACCCAGTCAAGCAAATTATTTTGAACATGCAGCATGCAGCATAAAGGTGAAACAACGCAAAGACAGCCAAGCACCAGTCTATATGAAATGGGCTTCATTGCATGGTGTGACGCGTGCACATTGTTTAAGAACGTGCACTCGGTAGGAAACGAAGCAATCCAGAGTTATTAGGAAGGTCATTTGCATAGAAAACGGTGACGTTACGGTTAGACTTAAAGTTAGTTTGTTATTTAATGCCGCACTTAGCAATATTCCCGATAAATGACGGTGGTCTGTACGTAATCGAGTCTGTACCAGACAAATAAGTGATTGACATCATGTGTATCGATCTGCGCAATTAGGATACGATGATATGTATCAACCAAGTCAGCGAGCCTGACCACCCGATCCCGTTAATCACCTTTTACAGAAAGACTTGTAAAGTTTAGAATTCTTCTAATTGAATGCGGGTGGTGGGGTAGCCTAGTGGTTAAAGTGTTCGCTCGTCACGCCGAAGGTCCGGGTTCGATTCCACACATTGGTGCAATGTGTGAAGTCTATTTATGGTGTCCTCCGCTGTGATATTGCTGGAATGCGGCGTAAAACTATCCTCACTCGAACTGAATACCATTTTGTGCAGCAGCATCTTCATCTTTATATAAGCACATGAGGCGCGGATGACCGGACAAGCACGTGCACACACACACACACACACACGCACGCACGCACGCACGCACGCACGCACGCATGCACACGCGCACATGCCCGTGGCTGTATGAGTGCAATAATCTTGAAAGCGACGTTAAACCCCATTTCACCTCACCTCGTGTGCATGCACGTAACTACTTATGTCCCCTGGGGCATGTCCGGTTGCTATGGAAACTCGAAAAATTAATTTTTCAAAATCCTAAACTATCAAAAGGCACCACTAGACCAATATATGTGTCAAGTTTCGTTAGGATGTATCTCATGTTTTTTTGTTCTACTCTGGAAACGAAACATGACGGACGTATGGCAAGCCGTTTTCACACGTGTTACTGAATTACTGATATATTCAATTGTTTTAAATATATGGGTATTCTATTTGAAGATATCAATAATGTTTTTAAGATATCAAAAAATAATTAAAGATATCTTTCATTCATTTCTGATATCCAAAATACAATTTCTGATATTTTAAAATGTTACTGTGATATCAACAAAATATTTCGTGATATCTCTAAATGTATTTCAGATATCATTTAATAATCACCAAGATATCTTAAATTCAATTCAAGATATGCTGAAAAAAGTTATGCATATCCACAAATGCATTACAGATATAATTAATTCGTTTAAGATATCATCAATTTAATTAGAGATATCTTTAATTCAATTCAAGATATCGTTAATTCTGAGCATTAATGATATAAAAAATCAAATATAGATAGTCATAATTTTGAAGATATCTTTATATTAATTGTTGCTATCTGTAATATAGTTTAAGTAACATGAAGGAACGGCAAACGAATTATTCCGGTCCCTAAAATGGCGGGAAATGATTTACAAATATCTTCAAATGCTTCCTGTCTGGCGACATATCCGTAAATTCTTCAGGTTCCAAAATGGCGGCAAACCCAACTTGTGCAGGAACTAGTCTCAACAGCACGCCAAGCAATTCGCGGAGGAGTTCGCGTGAGTGAGTGAGTAAGTGAGTGAGTGAGTGAGTTTGGCTTTACGCCGCCTTTAGCAATATTCCAGCAATATCACAGCGGGGGACACCAGAAATGGGCTTCACACATTGTACCCATGTCGGGATTCGAACCCTGGTCTTCGGCGTGACGAGCGAACGCTTTAACAACTAGGCGACAGCCCCTCGGAGGAGTTGAGGGGACTGACTATGACAGCAGTGATCAATTTGAAAACATGGTCTCCGTAGTGAGAAGAAATTGTCCGCCATGGTTAGAAACATTACCCACAGTACTTAACAGACGGAAGTATTTAAAGATATCTATAAATAAGCGGAAGTCTTTGATAATGGCAACAATTAAAGATATCAATAATTTATTATTGATATTCTGTATCTAGTTTCAGGATATCAGGAATTGAATTACTGATATCATAACAAAACGTTACTTTTTGACATCTTTAAATCATATTTTGATATCATTAATCGATATTTAAGATATCAGCATTTCTTTTCAAGATAACAGTAATAAGCTTCACCATAGCCTTAATTAATTTCGTGATATCTCAAATTGTATCGCAGATATCTACATTATATGTATTTAAGATAACTTCTATTATTCCATTCACGATATCTCCAATTCAATTCAAGATGTCAGTAATTCCGTAATAAATGTGAAAAGTGCTTGCCATACGGACGGACAGCACCCATTCCTATATCCCCCTTGCACTTCGTTTTCAATTTCTCTGGTTAGCAATTTTATATTCAGCCAACTGTCAATTTCGCTTTCTCGGTCCAACTGCACCTCTCAGTGTGTCGTGTCATGTTTCAACCATGGGAATTCCGTGCAGCACGTGCACTACAGTCGCCCCGACTAACAGTGGACGAGAGAGCCTACGGTGAAGCGGCCTTAGCCCGGTTATAAAACTTGGACCGACTGTAGATCTGGCAGGTGTGTGAGCCTCGGCACGACAGATGCAGATTCAAGGACACCTTGTTGGTTGGTTTGTTGGTTTGTTGTTTAACGCCGCACTCAGCAATATTTTTCAGCTATATGACGAGGTCTGTAAATAATTCAATGATTGATATCATGACGCAATTGGGAAACGATGACATGCATCAACCAAGTCAGCGAGCCTGACCACCCGATCCCGTTAGTCGCCTCTTACGACAAGCATGAGTTGCTGTAGACCTATTCTACCCCGGATCTTCACGGGTAGCGGATAAAATAATTTCCTTTTGTTTTCTATTACAAAAGGACGCTTCTGTGGCAGTAACTTCTAACTTAATTACGTTATTGTTTTGTTTTTTCAAAGGAAAATAATGTGTAATAAGCAGCTAAGCGTATACCGAATTTACTATTATTAGTTGGCGGTAAGCCTTACAGCAGAACTTCTGTGCAGTTATGATTTAAGGAACGTTCCAAACACAAATGTTTACCACACCAAGGACAGGATGTCGCAGCTGAGTTTGTTTGTTTGTC